TAATAGTTGGGGATTTAGTAGTATTATAGGGGCCTAGTGGTTTTTTATTTTGATAATTCCTTTAGGTTATTGTTGAATATATTGATAAGGTGTGAGGTTAGGTTTAATTTGGATGCTACCGAGTGAAATGATTTTAAACCGGCACCGGATGTGCTTTCTTTAAGCATGTACGCTAGTAGCATTGTGAGATTATTTAGGGTTTTAGTTCCTGTTAGGTATGGTGTTTTGCCTTTTGGTGTTTTTTTAGTTTTAAAGGAGATATTGGGTGTGTCAGTAGTGTCAGTAGTGATTGACTCGTCTCCGCTTGTATTTAGATTTGAGACAGACACTATAAAGTGGTATATAGGTATATATACTATTAAAAAAAAGAAACGCAATACGGATATTTTTGGCCATAAAATCAAAATTAGCGGACCAAGAGGTGCAAAATGAAGAGGTTTAATGTGTCACTGACAAATGTCCCGGGTAAAAATGATCACAACGAGGACAACACGTGATCGGCCAAGGTCGGGACGACCAAAAGTAACCACCACCGCCCCAAATCGCTACATCCGACTGCGCCACCTACGTGAAAGGACGACCACAGCCACTTCAACCGCATCCCAAATACCCGGACTGCGCAGAATCTCCGACCAGACCGCACAGAAACCGTTTAAGAGCAGCAGGTCTACGAGCAAGACGTCCTGTTCGACGCGTCATATTGAGTCGACAACATCATCAACAACGACTGCATTGGTGTCGTCAACACAGGGTATGGCCTCAACTGCGATGGGGAGATGTCTGGTTCAACGGCGAATCAAGATTTTTCCTCCGTCAAGGGGGTGGAAGAGCACGGGTCTACAGACGTCGGGGAGAACGCTACGCCCGGAGACTGCGTACAGGAAGTGGACAGGTTTGGTGGGGGTAGCGCTATCTCTAATCATGGCAGGACAGGTTTGGTCCATATCCATATACGGCTCAACGATACATCAACTAATTTCTCCTTACACACGTCGTCCCATGTCAGCCAACGGCAACGGTGTATTCCAGCAGGACAACGCTCGACCGCCTACAGCAGAGATCACAAGAGCCTGTCTACACAGCATCAACGGTGGTGTTCTTCCCTGGCCACCCAGATCCCCGGATTTGAACCCGATAGAGCACCTGTGGGATGAATTGGATACACGTTGATTTAATGAAAGAAAAGTTGTCAAAACACTGTCACTTCCTCCCCATGATGACATCACACCCCTACATGCTGAGGTCGGTGAGAAACCTTCTCATCAAAGAAAACACACAGTCAAGAACCTTTCTACGAAGACTCTCGGAATGTAGTCGTAATTATCACTTTATTAAATTGTTGAATATACATTTTGATTCAAACTAAATTTATTGAGCAAAACTATACCTTTCTGGGCATTTTAGATCTGCCTAGATTTGCACTTTTCGTTTTATTATTCTGCAATCCATTTTTAGTATTACCCGCTGGCCCGACCCAACTCTTAGGCAATCCCGTACATGTCTAAAAGCAAACGTTGGGTCCATTCAAAACCAGTTACAATGGTACCAATGGCTATTGAAGACAACTTTTCCAGGTTACATGTTGACATCCTTGGCCCTCTTCCTCAAACAGAGGGTGGGCATAAGTATGTTCTTGTAGCTGTGGATTCATTCTCAAGGTGGATTGAAGCATTTCCATTGCACACTCAAGATGCTGTGGAAGTAGCAACAAAACTCTTTAATGAGGTCTTCACAAGGTACGGTGCCCCTCGAACTCTTGTCACTGATAGAGGTCGCCAGTTCACATCAAAGCTGGTCAATGCTATCTGTGAAATGTTTTAGGTTAAGCACCGCTTCACATCGTCATACCATCCTCAGACAAATGGAATGGTGGAACGACGTAACAGTACTATTGCACAAGCCTTAAAATCTTACTGTCAGCCTGACCAATCCAACTGGGCTGATATTCTTCCATGTGTTCTCATGTCAATGCGAAACACACCGTGCCAATCAACTGGTTACTCACCGCACCTTATCCTCTTCGGCAGAGAGATGTGTCTTCCATCTGATACTACACTCACACCGAAGCCAACACTTGGTAAAAATGCAGAGACACATCCCCAGCAGCTCATCGACAATCTGAAGGTTGTCAAATCTATTGCTCGCGACGACATGTCTGTAAGTCAACAGATTGACAAGGAGCATCAAAAGCTAAAATCATCAGAACCTTCATTCATGTTAGGTCAACAGGTGCTTCTCCACAGCCCTGTAGTCAAACAAGGACTTTCCCCGAAGCTGTCCCAATCATGGACAGGTCCTTCTAATATCACAGACACTGGTCCAAACCACACCTTCAAAATTCACAGATGTTCAGATGACAAAGAACATACATCGTTGGTCCATGCCAATCTCCTGAAACCCCATGTCCTCAGAGGTAATGTTGCACAGCATGTTGACTCATCAGTTTCTTTTCACCTACATTGGTGTCAAGCAGAGCACAGGAACCGTTACCAGATGTCCTGCACAAAAGTTGCAAGGCAGCCCTCCACTGGACTCACCAGTCTCCAGTGAAAAGCCAAATGCAGAGGGCAGATGACACTGTGTCATCAGATCACAATCACAAGCAAACAAAAGATCACAATCAAGATCAATTCTATGATGTCGGAAAACTCTTGAAGTACAAAGACATCAATGGCATACGCCATTTTCTTGTCAAATTGGTTGCGCATCCTACACCAACATGGGAGCCACACCCCAATATAGGACAAGGACTTATCAGAGACTTCCACGTGCATAAAACACGGGCTGGACGCAGTCGTAAGCACAAACGCTCAAACAAATATTTTGTCTAATATCTAATAATATAGTTATCTTTGACTTTGATAGAACCTGGCAGTCAGTTTCATTGTGAGTAGTTAGATGTTGTCGACAAACCTGCAGGGCTTCCTGTGTTATTAAGTGCTAGAAGGATGATAGTTGCAAATGTCATCTCTTCAAACCCGTTGTCAACACTAATCAACCCACTTGATCTTCTCTCAGAGTTGTCAGATTCAGTTATCTATTATTAGAGATAATCCTGTTATGATGGTGTATATTTCAAAATAGAAACAAACCTTATGTCCAAATATGTTGTTTCTGTTGTATGAACTGTTACTCACCCATGAACTAAACCAACATATGTTTATGACCTCTTTCATCAAGTAATGTTTTCAAATTGCCGAGTTCCTGCTGAGAACAATACTCTACATGTTCTATTAAGCCAGATGTTGCTAAAACTATTATGCTTCGTTATGTTGTACGTTGGTTCTCATAACAGAACAATACTTTGTCATAACATGTTCTGTTTGGTAGACTATTGCTCGAATATTGTATTCTTTTCTATCAATACCTGAATTATGTTTGTTACCATGACAAATGGATATTATATCTTTCAGTAGCACTAGTTCCATGTAACATATTTTGTGCTTTTGCGGTCAAAAGCTTTCCACAGCTGAGGGATATTGTCATAGTTCTAAAATCACTATAATTAACCCATAGTTATAGAGGTCATATTTCAATAATACGTTTCGGATTTGTCTCACTATTTTATCTTAAAATTAGCCAAACCTAAATATATTTCTGTAGATAATGTTAGTCAGTTGCCGTGCACGTAAGTGACCGTCACCAACCAGTGACTCTGGATTATCTATCTTAGCTAGGCGGCCACGCTAGGGTTATGCCACAGGCTGTAACATGCTCTGTATGGCCGAACGCACCGTCATTTTAGCATCAGATAGGTGGAATATCAAGGATAGATAGTATGTGGTCAGTGCACTCCGTAACTGTCGAATAATTGTAATTAATACACATACACATGTGGCAGATTTAGGTCATAGTTTCAATATTAGGTTACTAACGCATTCTACAGAAGGCCTGAGTCCCAAATATACGGAGTCCAGTGGCAGATACTTCACTCTGCCACGAATAAAGACGTAAAGGGAATCAGCAGCCTTCTCTCTGTTTTAAGGTGATAGCCGAGTAATCAGCTCTACCAAGTTGATTCCCCCACTATCTTGGTCACTGTGACGTAGCAAACGGGACCACGCCCACACAAGGCAAAAAGGTACGTCAATAGCAATGCATTCCGATACATGTCTCCGCGCTGATCACACATGTCATCGCATTGTAATCCGTGTCATCGCATTGTAGTCCATGTCATCGCATTGTAATCCGTGTCATCGCATTGTAGTCCGTGTCATCGCATTGTAATCCGTGTCATCGCATTGTAGTCTATGTCATCGCATTGTAGTCCGTGTCATCGCATTGTAGTCCGTGTCATCGCATTGTAATCCGTGTCATCGCATTGTAGTCCGTGTCATCGCATTGTAGTCCGTGTCATCGCATTGTAATCCGTGTCGTCGCATTGCAGACACGTGTCATCGCATTGTAGTCCGTGTCATCGCATTGCAGACACGTGTCATTGCATTGTAATCCGTGTCATCGCATTGTAGTCCGTGTCATCGCATTGTAATCCGTGTCATCGCATTGTAGTCTATGTCATCGCATTGTAGTCCGTGTCATCGCATTGTAGTCCGTGTCATCGCATTGTAATCCGTGTCATCGCATTGTAGTCTATGTCATCGCATTGTAGTCCGTGTCATCGCATTGTAGTCCGTGTCATCGCATTGTAATCCGTGTCATCGCATTGTAGTCCGTGTCATCGCATTGTAGTCCGTGTCATCGCATTGTAATCCGTGTCGTCGCATTGCAGACACGTGTCATCGCATTGTAGTCCGTGTCATCGCATTGCAGACACGTGTCATTGCATTGTAATCCGTGTCATCGCATTGCAGACACGTGCCATCGCATTGTAGTCCGTGTCATCGCATTGTAGTCCGTGTCATCGCATTGTAATCCGTGTCATCGCATTGCAGACACGTGTCATCGCACTGCACATGCATACCGTCACATTCAACATTCTCACATCGTTTTGTACATACATCACATTCACGCGAAAACGTTTTAAGTCATTATCACATGGTATCACTTTATTTCACTTTAAACAAATATTTGAAACAACATGGATTGCCAAGCTAATAGTTCATAGACATCCGGCATTACATTGAAACATGGGCATTCAACAACTCGCCACGAAGACGCTGAATTGTGACAAATATGACGTGCGGCTGAACTACTCTCTCCCTGCCATCACCGCGTGAATTATGCATCTTGCTTTGTCACACAAAACCACTGCAGAAGACTATGACACTGCCTCTGTGTCTGTCTTATAATGATTGAACGTCCACATCTGAGACGCTCGTCCTCGCCGACACTGCGACATGACAGGTCCCTGCTTCCCGACGTCGAGGCTTCGTCCGATCGTGAACCAGCCAAGAGTTCTGCAACATGGGATAGACGCCTTTAGACTCAGCAGAAACATTTGGATGTTGGACAGCCTTCACAGGGCGAAGATTTGACTATGACAACCATCTTTGAGACATTGTTAAAACGTCAACAGGCATGGAGCTCCTACACCGTGAGACTGGACGGTAACTATGGACATCAATACTGGAATGTAACTATGGACATCAATACTGGAATGTAACTATGGACATCAATACTGGACTGTAACCATGTACGTCAATACTGGACTGTAACTTTAGACATCAATACTGGACTGTAACTTTAGACATCAATACTGGACTGTAACTATGGACATCAATACTGGACTGTGGCCATGGACATGTAACTATGGACATCAATACTGGACTGTGACCGTGGACAACAATACTGGACTGTGACTGTGGACATCAATACTGGACTGCAACTATAGACATCAACGCTGGACTGTAACTACTTACATTAATACTGGAATGTAACTAGGGACATCAATACTGGACAATAACCATGGACATCAATACTGGACTGTAACTATGGACATCAATACTAGACAGTAACTATGGACATCAATACTGGACAGTAACTATGGACATCAATACTGGAATGTAACTATAGACATCAATACTGGACAGAAACTATGGACATCAATACTGGAGTGTGGCCATGGACATGTAACTATGTACATCAGTACTGGACTGTGACCGTGGACATCAATACTGGTCTGTGACCGTGGACATCAATACTGGACAGTAACTATGGACATTAATACTGGACAGTAACTATGGACATCAATACTGGACTGTAGCTTTTGACATCAAAACTGGACTGTAACCGTGGACATCAAAACTGGACATTAACTGTGGACATCATTACTGGACCGTAACTATGGACATCGATACTGGACTGTAACTATGGACATCAATACTGGACAGTAACTATGGCCATCAATACTGGACTGTGGTCATCAATACAGGACTGTGACTGTGGACATCAATACTTGACAGTAACTATAGACATCAATACTGGACAGTAACTATGGACATCAATACTGGACAGTAACTATGGACATCAATACTGGACTGTAACTATAGACATCAATACTGGACTGTAACTATGGACATCAATACTGGACTGTAACTGTGGTCATCAAGACAGGACTGTAACTAGGGACATCAATACTGGACTGTAACTGTGGACATCAATACTGGACTGTAACTATGGACATCAATACTGGACTGTAACTATAGACATCAATACTGGACTGTAACAATGGACATCAATACTGGACAGTAACTATGGACATCAATACTGGACTGTAACTATGGACATCAATACTGGACTGTAACTGTGGTCATCAAGACAGGACTGTAACTAGGGACACACTGACTACATAACGCTTCTATTACCGGCGTGTGTGTCCATGTGCTCGGCGTCCCTACACCATAGGACTGCAGGGTAGGTTTCTCTTCAGCATTTTCACCATCAAACACAACAGACGCCAGGGAGGTGCGCAGGTAGCCCTCCGTGCTCACCGAAAACCCCTGGAAATAAGTATGTAATGAAAGAGGAAGAAAAAACATTTACATTCAAGCCATGTGTCTTTTTTATTTCGCAATTTTGTACACCACTATCCCACATTGCAAACTTAAGGGAAAACTTCATTCCTTGATCCATATGGGTTTTGTTACAGCACGTGGTGACCACAGATACAGTTGCATATCTATTGTTACGACGTAAATTGTAATAAAAAGGTAAATTGTAATACTTGCAGCAAATTGTAATAATTTTGACGTAAATTGTAATAACAACGTAAATTGTAATGAAATTTGACGTAAATTGTAATACGCAAATTGTAATAAAAATTGACGTAAATTGTAATAATCTTAACTTGCGGTAAAATGTAATAACTTTTTACGTAAATTGTAATAACCTTTAAGTTTAGTGTCAAAGGCGTTAAATGACTAGAACCTATCCTTGTCAGGGTTGGTACAGGGTTTATCGTACAATCGTCATTATAGATTTTCCATCCTTTCAATTTTGATCAAAACAGATATATTTCAGCAATAATTGATTGCAACAAATTTATTATACATTCTGATGCTCTTTGAAACTCAACAAGACATGCCCGAAGATACCGCATATTATTTGTGTATGCTTTGAATTATGATTTCGTGCCGTTATCATGATGGATTCTGTTTTTGTTGTTGGGGCAAGGAGTTATTATCCCAGCAAAAGTTGTCAGTAAGTTGTTGTTAGTTCTGACATGACATATGAAAGGAATCCAGACAGTTACATTTATTCATTTATTTCATTAGATATACTTCTTCCTATGAAAGGAAATATTTTATGTTATATTAATTATCCATATGTTAATCATACATTGCTACAAATATTGTATAAGTTAACACGGTTTGCATTTATTAATTATTATTTATTTATCTGTAAGATTCACAGAGATCGAGAATACACAATATCCAATAGTATATGCAATGTAGGTAAAGAATATCCACGCCCCTCTTTTGATATAAATAAAAACATTGTATATAATGTTATGTATTAAGTATTCTCCTTTCCCATGCATGGGAAATCTATGCTGCATTTGCTGACGACTTTTTTTCCCTTGACATTGCACAGGAGATCTGTCACTCATTTGTTGTATTTGAATTCTTCGTCAAAATATAATGTATAAATACGTTAGAATTGTCTCGTGTGCTTCAAGGAAACGGTCATGTGCTCCTTATCAAATTAAGTAAACCTCCAATGCAAATCGACTTAATTTCAGGGTCCGGTTGCACAGAGCTTTCTTCGGTAACTCGTAACTCAGTGTTATTGCAATGGACTCCTAGCTAAGCTACTATTGGATGATAAATCAATAAACCTATTTGTCGAATAGACGTACCTAATGTAATCCATTATTTTTAACCCGAGGATGGATCTTTCAGTCATAAATTTCGATGTGTACAGTTGCTAGAGTATCATTCTAACAATACAGACATGACACAAGCTGCACGTAAAATAATTGATAAAGGTAGTCCTTGCGGGTTCACATACCTACATGTACATCGCCCGGGACATTGTCATTATTTCCTTTACATCCTCCGAGCAACGTTAAAAAATTGAAACTTAAATGATAATAAATTGATATTATGTATATGAAGATGTATAAATCAGCTTGCACACAGGCAACTGCAGAATGACATGTCATCCATTTGCTAGTTTAGTTTAGTTTAAACATATTTTATTCACAGAACAAAATGAGAATTGTATTGGGGACAAGTTCTTGCAACTTAGTAAACCCCTCCCCGCATAAAATATGTACAAATATACAGTTGCAAAATAAATAAATTTGCTTCAGTCAGTAAAAGTCAGACGTTCCACATTTACACATCAATATAGTTGTGTAAGTTTGTTACGTTATAATTATTCCAATGTGTATATTACTACCTACTTTATCAATTAAAATATGATTCCATTAGGTTAAATATGAACAATTATGATGAAAATCGTCAATAGGATATATTACAATTAAGTACAAAACACACAGAGTATTTCTCAAATAAATATGAAAACTAAGTTCATTCTAGTAATTAATCCTCTTCTGGACAAACATATAAATGAAATTCCAATGCGTTTATATATATATATATATATATATATATATATATATATATATATATATATATATATATAGTTATATAGTTATATAGGTATATATATATATATATATAGTTATATATAATTATATATAGTTATAGTTATACAACAATGTACGATAACGACCTCAATCCTCCCCCACACCCATACTTTAATGACGATTGTACGATAAACCCTGTACCAACCCTGACAAGGATAGGTTCTAGTCATTTAACGCCTTTGACACTAAACTTATAAGGTAATTACAATTTACGTAAAACGTTATTACATTTTACCGCAAGTTGAGATTATTACAATTTACGTCAATTTTTATTACAATTTGCGTATTACAATTTACGTCAAATTTTATAACAAATTACGTTGTTATTACAATTTACGTCAAAATTATTACAATTTGCTGCAAGTATTACAATTTACCTTTTTATTACAATTTACGTCGTAACATCTATCTTCCGAGGTTCAGGACAATTTTTTGGTCAAAAATGAAAGCAAATGTTATCTGAAGTTTACTTAGAAAACAAGACAACATCTATGTAACATTTAAGGGTAAAACATTTAGGCAAGAAGCAGGCATCCCCATGGTTACCGATTGTAATCCCCATCTTGCTGATCTCTTACTTGGTGCATATGAAGCGGAATTTCTGCTCGAATTGGCAAACTCAAAAGAAGGTAATTCAGCCAAGAAGTATAACTTTTGTTTCAGATATATCGATGATCTGATAACCATTAATAACCATCAAATAGCCAGCTACCTTACACTGATTTACCGAACTGAACTAGAAATAAAGGAGACCAGTGAGACTGCCTCGTCTGTCTCATATTTAGATCTTTGCAAAACGGACAGGACAACGCTGTCAGATCCGTGACTGGCACAGACTTCTGTGTTCGGACGACATGAAGGTCGTGTTCGGGTTTTTTGTCGCAAGGGGGAACGATTGGCGCCGGGCTGTATTCAGGCATATCCAAGTACATATCCATGTGGTGAGGGTGGGGGGATTGCTTTTAGAGGAATTTGGGGCGGACGGGACTGGTCATCATCCGTGGCAACCTGAACGGCCAGTTGTACAAGATGGCCTTAACCCGCTCCTTCGCTATCAGCTGCAGGGAACACTTTTGCAACACATCGATGATAGGACTTCTAGGCTACGCCGTTCTTCCATGGCCAACCCACTCGCCACTTTTATAACCTATTGAGCACTATGGGATCATCCAGATCGTCCTCATCCACCCAAGAACCGTCAACAGCCAGCCGGCTGACATAGTACTCGTGGTGGTCATGTTCCACACTGAGAATTTCTGGTGTCTATGACCCAGCTCCAACTGATCATGACAATACTTGTATATCTACAGAGACATTGTCCCCCGAGTTCCTTCAGACGTCATGATGTGAGATACGCAATGAAATGATGCATGTAATATCGCCAATGATACCCGTCAAATCCATCACCATTGAATAACCATCTTGCATGTTCCATTTTTAGCAACCATCAAACATGGGTGTATACTTTAGTACATATGGGACACCTTCTCTGGATCGCTTACCCTGGAACCCTTGCACTGGAGGCTAACCCTGGATCGATTACCCTGGAACCCTTGCACTGGAGGCTAACCCTGGATCGCTTACCATGGAACCCTTGCACTGGAGGCTAACCCTGGATCGCTTACCCTGGAACCCTTGCACTGGAGGCTAACCCTGGATCGCTTACCCTGGAACCTTTGCACTGGAGGCTAACCCTGGATCGCTTTCCCTGAAACCCTTGCACTGGAGGCTAACCCTGGATCGCTTACCCTGCAACCCTTGCTCTAGATTCGTTTCTCAGGACACCAGCTATAGTACCCTTAACCTGGACACTTATCCCTTTCCCTGGAGCCCGTGCCGACACTGACGCATGGGCCGACCCAAGCTCAGTAAACGTTGGAGCTGACAATTCTGCAATCACAAAAGCAGTATTCCTTTTAAAAATGAACAATATTAAACAGATATCGGCATGTATAGATATATTCTATGCTACTATGCAATATGGAGTTTGCACGTCACATACTGTTTAAACGGTAAAAGAATAAATCTTGGTGACCCCTCTTTCCCTCTTCGTACATTCCTTCGGACATTCTGGCGTCACCTCGTGTTTATCTTGGTCGCCGGCACATCAATCCCGCCGCTCTCCAGAGAAGAATAACATCGTGAATCGTGACTATGTTAAGTACCTCAAACGCTACAAATGTGTCAACACACACTCGTGTGGCTTTGGTTTGTCTAAACACTGATAGTGAGATCTGATCACAAAGAAGACCGATATGAAATACCCGGGTATATTCAGTACTTTCTGTTTCGTCAAATTTCACAACGTGTGCTTGTTTCACAACAAAAATGCACATACATTTGAATGATAAAAACGCTTCAGCTACGCCTTCAACTACAGCAACGTGACTGTGAGCTACACCTGTGAATAAAGGTGTGTTAAGTTGTGTCCAGGTGTGTCCAGTTGTGTTCAGGAGTACATTCTCTCTGTATTCAGGTGTGCCGAGGTGTGTCCAGGTGTGTCTAGGTGTACATGATCTCTGTGTTCAGGTGTGCCCAAGTGTGTTCAGGTGTGTCCAGGTGTGTCAAGGTGTACATGATCTCTGTGTTCAGGTGTGCCCAGGTGTGTTCAGGTGTGTCCAGGTTACATTATCTCTGTGTTCAGGTGTGTCAATGTGTGTCCAGATGTACATTATCTCTGTGTTCAGGTGTGTCCAGGCGTGTTCAGGTGTGTCCAGGTGTGTTCAGGTGTGTCCAGGTGTGTCCAGGCGTGTTCAGGTGTGTTCAGATGTGCCCAAGTGTACATTATCTCTGTGTTCAGGTGTGTTCATGTGTGTTCAGTTGTGTCCAGGTGTGTTCAGGTGCGTCGAGGTGTACATTTCCTGTGTGTCCAGGTGTACATTACCTGTGTGTCCAGATGTAGATTACCTGTGTGTCAAGGTATGGTCAGGTGTGCCCAGGTGTACATTACCTGTGTGTCCAGGTGTACATTACCTGTGTGTCCAGGTGTACATTACCTGTTTGTCAAGGTATGTCCAGGCGTGGCAAGGTGTACATTTCCTGTGTCCAGGTTTATATTACTTGTGTGTCCAGGTGTACATTACCTGTGTGTCCAGGTGTACATTACCTGTGTGTTCAGGTATGTTCAGGTGTGCCCAATATGTACATTACCTGTGTGTCCAGGTGTACATTACCTGTGTGTCCAGGTGTACATTTCCTGTGTGTCCAGGTGTACATTAACTGTTTCTCCAGGTATGTTCAGGTGTGTCAAGGTGTACATTACCTGTGTGTCCAGGTTACATTACTTAGTGTCCAGGTGTACATTACCTGTGTGCAAGGTGTACATTACCTGTGTGTCTAGGTGTACATTTCCTATTTGTCCAGGTGTACATTCCCTGTGTGTCCAGGTGTACATTACCTGTTTATTCAGGTGTACATTAGCTGTTTGTTCAGGTGTATATTACTGTAACAGGATATTGTATATATAGTTTTAGGAATATAGTTTTAGCTCTTTTCATTACAAGTAGTTGTATACATTTTCATTAGTTGTAGTACAAAATGTATATGCTTGGGTTAAGAGTCCAAGCGGTTGGTTCAATTTTATTGAAGGGTGGACAGGTTAGTCTATTCCTGTCCCTTTGTCACCAACTCTCTAGCTTGTCAATACATAGCTTTCAGCTTCCTAGCTGATTAACATTATCTAACTACAGCTTTCCTCCCTAACATTTGCACACTTTTTATTCACTCTGCTTATAACTCTGCACAGACAGGACATGGACTACATATAGTTCGGGCTAGTTATTTACATTATCTTTCCTAAATAGAATTCTAACTTATCATTTAAATATGTTATCAATAATGTAAAATTGTAAATGCTTACCTATGATATCAAATAATCAAGATATCTTCTATTTTATCAGTATAAAGTGTTTAACATGTAAGTATGTGTGAGAGCATGATTTGATTGGGAGTTTTGAATGTAAGGATTGAATTAGAAGTTGGTTTTCTATAATTTAAGGAAATGGTTGTCATGATGTATGTATGTATTTATTCAGGCATGATAGTTATGTTATTTACTTTTTATAGGAATGCCATAATCCTATATGATGTGGGTTTATAGACACACCCCGGTGTCACCCACAGGGTATGTATAAATCCTTTATCTTATCACTCACTTATGAATGAATTTATATGTATAAACTATGTGTTATAATTTAACACAACATGGTAGCATTTTATATATATTCCTACTCTTGGAGATAATAAGTATATATTTATGACGCCACACGGCTACTAGTATTCTTCTAACTATATGGTGTGTAACTGATATATTCAGTTATGATAAGAGACATTTAATATATGTATTACTATTTGAAAGTTCGGTAAATTGTATTTAATATAAGTTATCTACAACGAACTAGTGATGTGTAACTGTATGCGTTGCATGTATGGATTAATGTGACTGCTCAAAACTAGAAATAATTAATATGCAGCCGTATCTTTGAATGCTATTCTATGTACAGTATATAATGTTATATATTTTATTACAGGGTGATTGATCAATTGTGATTGATAATGGAATAAATGTCACCTTAACAAACACAACCGCAGCTTGTCATTTTTCATAATGAACTACCCCTGCTACATTACCTGTGTGTCCAGGTGTACATTATTCGTGTGTCCAGGTGTACATTACCTCCGTGTCCAAGTGTACATTACCTGTGTGTCCAGGCGTACATTACCTGTGTGTCCAGGTGTACATTACCTGTGTCCAGGCGTACATTACCTGTGTGTCCAGGCGTACATTACCTGTGTGTCCAGGCGTACATTATTCATGTGTCCAGGTGTACATTACTTGTGTCCAGGTGTACATTATTCGTGTGTCCAGGCGCACATTACCTGTGTGTTCAGGTGTACATTACCTGTGTCCAGGTGTACATTACCTGTGTGTCCAGGTGTACATTACCCGTTTGTCCAGGTGTACATTACCTGTGTGTCCAGGTGTACATTACTTGTGTGTCCAGGTGTACATTACCCGTTTGTCCAGGTGTACATTACCTGTGTGTCCAGGTGTACATTACCTGTGTCTCCAGGGGTACATTACCCGTTTGTCCAGGTGTACATTACCTGTGTGTCCAGGTGTACATTACCTGTGTGTCCAGGTGTACATTACCTCTGTGTCCAGGCGTACATTACCTGTGTGTCCAGGCGTACATTACCTGTGTGTCCAGGCGTACATTACCTATGTGTCCAGGTGTACATTACCCGTTTGTCCAGGTGTACATTACGTGTGTGTTCAGGTGTACATTTCCAGTGGGTCCAGGTGTACATTACCTGTGTGTCCAGGTGTACATTATTCGTGTGTCCAGGCGCTCATTACCTGTGTGTCCAGGTGTACATTATTCGTGTGTCCAGGTGTACATTACTTGTGTGTCCAGGTGTACATTACCCGTTTGTCCAGGTGTACATTACGTGTGTGTTCAGGTGTACATTTCCAGTGGGTCCAGGTGTACATTACCTGTGTGTCCAGGCGTACATTACCTTTGTGTCCAGGCGTACATTACCTGTGTGTCCAGGCGTACATTATTCATTTGTCCAGGTGTACATTATTTGTGTGTCAAGGTGTACATTACCTCTGTGTCCAGGTGTACATTACCCGTTTGTGCAGTTGTACATTACCTGTGTGTCCAGGTGTACATTTCCTGTGTGTCCAGGTGAACATTTCCTGTGTGCCCAGGTGTACATTACCCGTTTTTGCAGTTGTACATTTCCTGTGTGTCCAGGTGTACATTTCCTGTGTGTCCAGGTGAACATTTCCTGTGTGCCCAGGTGTACATTACCCGTTTTTGCAGTTGTACATTTCCGGTGGGTCCAGGTGTACATTTCCTGTGTGTCCAGGTGTACATTACCTGTGTGTCCAGGTAGTAGTGGCACTCATACATGTAGAGATTCCCAGGATACAGGGCACCATTGTTGTCTAAGCATGTGTTGGTGTACTGATTCCGGGCCTGAATAGGAAACATGGCACCATTAAAAGGCATCCATAACAATACAAACAAATAGCCCCACAGGAGGAAGAAACACAGGCAACATCGTAAATACCGACCTCCCGGAAGAAAGTAGCATTGTACACTAGGTGACAGTGTACATACAGACCCAAGGCGTCACCAAAAAAGGTAACATTGTACACATAGACCCCAGGCAACACCCACAAGGTAACATTGTACATACAGACCCAAGGCAATACCTGCAATGTAACATTGTACACACAGACCCCAGGCAACACCCACAAGGTAACATTCTACATACAGACCCCAGGCAATACCAACAAGGTAACATTGTACATACAGACCCAAGGCAATACCCGCAATGTAACATTGTACACACAGACCCCAGGCAACACCCACAAGGTAACATTGTACACATAGACCCCAGGCAACACCCGCAATGTAACATTGTACACATACCCCAGGCAATACCCGTAATGTAACATTGTACACACAGACCCCAGGCAACACCAACAAGGTAACATTGTACATACAGACCCCAGGCAATACCCGCAATGTAACATTGTACACACAGACCCCAGGCAATACCCACAAGGTAACATTGTACATACAGACCCAAGGCAATACCCGCAACGTAACATTGTACATACAGACATCAGGCAACACCCACAAGGTAACATTGTACACACAGACCCCTGGCAATACCCACAACGTCTTATTGTACACACAGACCCCAGGCAATACCCGCAATGTAACATTGTACACACAGACCCCAGGCAACACCCGCAATGTAACATTGTACACACAGACCCAAGGGAACACCCACAACGTAACATTGTACACACATACCCCAGGTAATACCCGCAATGTAACATTGTACACACAGACCCAAGGGAACACCCACAACGTAACATTGTACACAGAGACCCCAGGTAATACCCGCAATGTAACATTGTACACACAGACCCCAGGCAACACCCGCAATGTAACATTGAACACACAGACCCAAGGGAACACCCACAACGTAACATTGTACACACAGACCCCAGGTAATACCCGCAATGTAACAATCTACACACCGACCCAAGGCAATACCCGCAATGTAACATTGTACACACAGACCCCAGGCAACACCCACAAGGTAACATTGTACAAACAGACCCCAGGCAATACCCGCAATGTAACATTGTACACACAGACCCCAGGTAACACCCAAAATGTAACATTGTACACACAGACCCCAGGCAATACCCACAACGTAACATTGTACACACAGACCCCAGGCAATACCCACAACGTAACATTGTACACACAGACCCCAGGCAATACCCACAACGTAACATTGTACACACAGACCCCAGGCAATAACCACAACGTAACATTGTACACACAGACCCCAGGCAATACCCACAACGTAACATTGTACACACAGACCCCAGGCAATACCCACAACGTAACATTGTACACACAGACCCCAGGCAACACCCACAACGTAACATTGTACACACAGACCCCAGGCAATACCCACAACGTAACATTGTACACATTGACCCCAGGCAATACCCACAACGTAACATTGTACACACAGACCCCAGGCAATACCCACAACGTAACATTGTACACACAGACCCCAGGCAATACCCACAACGTAACATTGTACACACAGACCCCAGGCAATAACCACAAGGTAACATTGTACACACAGACCCCAGGCAATACCCACAACGTAACATTGTACACAGAGACCCATGGGAACACCCACAACGTAACATTGTACACACAGACCCCAGGCAACACCCACAAGGTACCATTGTACACACAGACCCAAGGGAACACCCACAACGTAACATTGTACACACAGACCCCAGGCAATACCCACAAGGTACCATTGTACACACAGACCCATGGGAACACCCACAACGTAACATTGTACACACAGACCCCAGGCAACACCCACAAGGTACCATTGTACACACAGACCCAAGGGAACACCCACAACGTAACATTGTACACACAGACCCCAGGTAATACCCGCAACGTAACATTGTACACACAGACCCAAGGGAACACCCACAATGTAACATTGTACACACAGACACAAGGTAACACCCAAAATGTAACATTGTACACACAGACCCCAGGCAATACCCACAATGTAACATTGTACACAGAGACCCAAGGCAATACCCGCAATGTAACATTGTACACACAGACCCCAGGCAATACCCACAACGTAACATTGTACACACAGACCCCAGGCAATACCCGCAATGTAACATTGTACACACAGACCCCAGGCAACACCCACAATGTAACATTGTACACACAGACCCCAGGCAATACCCACAACGTAACATTGTACACACAGACCCCAGGCAATACCCAAAATGTAACATTGTACACACAGACCCCAGGCAATACCCACAATGTAACATTGTACACAGAGACCCAAGGCAATACCCGCAATGTAACATTGTACACACAGACCCCAGGCAATACCCACAACGTAACATTGTACACACAGACCCCAGGCAATACCCGCAATGTAACATTGTACACACAGACCCCAGGCAACACCCACAATGTAACATTGTACATACAAAAACCTAAGGTAAAAATCCGTAGGTAACATTGTACATACCGACCCCCAGGCAACAACGCCGACGTCGTACATCAGCAGCTCCGGCCAGACATTCTGTATGTACCAGGAGAAGTCCTTACATTTTAGTTGTTCCTTTAGTTGTAGTCGACCTGAAATACTGCCAACGTCTAGTTCCTGCAAAATAGTGAATAACACATGATCATTACTAACATCATGTAATATTTCGTAGCTCCGTTCACCCCGCGAATAACCAGGAATAACTCGCCGATTTGGTTTCAATTGGTGCATGTCATCGTATCACAATTGCGTAGATCGATGCTCACGATGCCAATCACAGGATTCTCTGCTCGGACTCGAGTATTCACAGACCGCCGTCGTGTAACCGCCCTACTGCTGAGTGAAAAACGTAGCTCCGTTTAGTAAGAGCAAATTTCCATGTTCAAAAACGTATAATGTATTGTATAAACAAGTATGGTTTGTGCGTATGACATTGTAGACTGACTTACTGCCATTTCGGGATAGTTCTGGTACACATATTTCTTTAGGGATCCCATCCAAACGTCGACAGCACGCTTGTAGTTGTACACTTCTACTTGACGTCTACCCCCAGGGAAGGAGTAGGGCTGGGGTCGGGCGATATGCCCCTGGTGTGAACACGGGACATGGACCAGCTGACCCCCACACAGCCACACCTGTACAGTGATACATAGTTGGGCAATGTGTATGTCGCTGTGTACCTCCACCAAATGTCTCCCAGATTCTATCCTGGTTCTTGTTGCACACCTATTCGCGGAATTAAAATTTTGAACGTTGTCATCATTATTTGCGTATGATAAAGTATGTGAGTTACTACAATCTTAGTACTAAGATCGCTTTGTGGAACGTTGTTCCTATGCCTACGATAAAATATGTGAGCTACGACCAACATAGTTCTAAGATCGCTTCGTGGAACGTTGATCGTAAGCCTATGATAGAGAATGTGAGTTACGACCAACATGGTACTAAGATCGCTTTGTGGAACGTTTATCGTAAGCATATGATGAAGTGTTTGAGTTACGACCAACATGGTACTAAGATCGCTTCGTGGAACGTTGATCCTATGCCTATGATGAAGTATGTGAGTTACGACCAACATCGTACTATGATCGCTTTGTGGAACGTTGATTCTATGCCTCTGATAAAGTATGTGAGTTACGACCAACACAGTACAAAGGTCGCTTCGTGGAAAATTGATTGTAAGCCTATGATAAAGTATGTGAGTTACGACCAACTAAGTACTAAGATCGCTTTATGGAAAGTTAATCCTATGCCAATGATAAAGTATGTGAGTTACGACCAACTAAGTACTAAGATCGCTTTATGGAAAGTTAATCCTATGCCTATGATAAAGTATGTGAGTTACGACCAACTAAGTACTAAGATCGCTTTGTGGAACAGGTTCCTGAACCTCATCGTCCGCGTGGCAGTTGTATTCCAGGGTAGAAGGCACTGGGCATGAAGGCCTCTGTGGACCAATCTATGTCGTGTTCCAGGACAGACGCAACACGGAGATGCCTCATGACATGGAGAGTAAAGAACAGTAAACTACGTTTATAATGAACACGCTTATAATGAACTGAACGATACAACGCACTTATCTTTTAGTCCCGGCCATTTGTTGTATATGTGCTGTATATGTGCTTATAACGAACTACGGTTATTACGAACTAAAATTAGTGGTCCCTTTAAGTTCGTTATAACCGTAGTTTACTGTATTGGTTAAATGCACAGGTAGACTGAAGCATGCACTGTGTTTTAAAACTCGTACCCTCCATGACAGCTCAAGATTCTCCCCACCCCAGATCTTCATTCCTTCATCATAGGATCCGATGTCTGCAAAGTACTGCTTGTCTACCGCAAACGCTGCCCCTACCATTGTAGCGCCCCTGTCAGAACATAGAGATGGCGCACGCCTATACGTCAAGAAGTCAGTGAGTATGGTTTTACTAAGACCTCGGCAATCTGCAAAAGGCATTGCAAGACCTCGGAGCGGTTTTTACATTGCCGATACCCGGTCTTACGTCCTCTAACATAACCGAGGAGGAGTGTTTTATCGCACTAAGCAATACAGTGTGTCGCAGTAAAAAAGCAATGCGACCAAAGCGTGCGAGAGAAGAATCACGTGCAGCATAGACAAAACTAAGTCATGACATCTACAGTTGAACGTTTTTGCACTGCTGGCTCAGTGGGAAAACAGTTGGTTAGAAAACTTAACATGCTATGTGAGGTTGCAGGTTCGATTCCCGTCATTCTTAATGGAAAAGTTTCTTTTTTGTCTTCGATTTTTCAACATTGGACGTTTGAAAAACTAAGTCCAAAGTCCATCTGCTACTCAAATCATCAGGTCTTACTTGCAAAAAGTAAAACTTCATACCCGGGGTAAAGTCTAACTTGGAAAAAGTAAATTCTTCTAAGAGGTTATTTAAAGACAGAAAGATATCTACAATACAATAGGCAGGTATATAACTAACGCCCCTGCAGCTGTGTGAACATGGCGATGCTGCACAAGTATAGCTAGCGCCCATGTAAACATTGAAATATCGAAGAGCAGTTCCTTGCGTCATGTGTGAACAAGAGACAAAAATAATATACGGAAAACGAATCTGAAGGCATCCCTGGTCAAAATAACACAGCTTAGTTGCTACACGTTAAAATACACACAGCTTAGTTGCTACACGTTAAAATACACACAGTATATGCACAGCCACATCCACTCGTCCTAAGGTTTGTGTCCGGAAAATTCAAGACGAGAACGGACAACTGATTCTTGTCATTATGAGAAGAAATTATGTATTGTATGTACAACGTGAGTGACCAATGCCAGACAGTATGAGAAGAAATTGTGTATTGTATGTACAACGTGAGTGACATATACCAGACAGTATGAGAAGAAATTGTGTATTGTATGTACAACGTGAGTGACATATACTAGACAGTATGAGAAGAAATTGTGTATTGTATGTACAACGTGAGTGACCAATGCCAGACAGTATCAGAAGAAATTGTGTATTGTATGTACAACGTGAGTGACATATACCAGACAGTATGAGAAGAAATTGTGTATTGTATGTACAACGTGAGTGACATATACTAGACAGTATGAGAAGAAATTGTATATTGTATGTACAACGTGAGTGACCTATACCAGACAGTATGAGAAGAAATTGTATATTGTATGTACAACGTGAGTGACCTATACCAGACAGTATGAGAAGAAATTGTGTATTGTATTTACAACGTGAGTGACATATACCAGACAGTATGAGAAGAAATTGTGTATTGTATGTACAACGTGAGTGACCTATACCAGACAGTATGAGAAGAAATTGTGTATTGTATGTACAACGTGAGTGACATATACTAGACAGTATGAGAAGAAATTGTGTATTGTATGTACAACGTGAGTGACCAATGCCAGACAGTATGAGAAGAAATTGTGTATTGTATGTACAACGTGAGTGACATATACCAGACAGTATGAGAAGAAATTGTGTATTGTATGTACAACGTGAGTGACATATACTAGACAGTATGAGAAGAAATTGTGTATTGTATGTACAACGTGAGTGACCAATGCCAGACAGTATGAGAAGAAATTGTGTATTGTATGTACAACGTGAGTGACATATACCAGACAGTATGAGAAGAAATTGTATATTGTATGTACAACGTGAGTGACCTATACCAGACAGTATGAGAAGAAATTGTATATTGTATGTACAACGTGAGTGACCTATACCAGACAGTATGAGAAGAAATTGTGTATTGTATTTACAACGTGAGTGACATATACCAGACAGTATGAGAAGAAATTGTGTATTGTATGTACAACGTGAGTGACCTATACCAGACAGTATGAGAAGAAATTGTGTATTGTATGTACAACGTGAGTGACATATACTAGACAGTATGAGAAGAAATTGTATATTGTATGTACAACGTGAGTGACCTATACCAGACAGTATGAGAAGAAATTGTGTATTGTATTTACAACGTGAGTGACATATACCAGACAGTATGAGAAGAAATTGTGTATTGTATGTACAACGTGAGTGACATATACCAGACAGTATGAGAAGAAATTGTATATTGTATGTACAACGTGAGTGACCTATACCAGACAGTATGAGAAGAAATTGTGTATTGTATGTACAACGTGAGTGACATATACTAGACAGTATGAGAAGAAATTGTATATTGTATGTACAACGTGAGTGACCTATACCAGACAGTATGAGAAGAAATTGTGTATTGTATTTACAACGTGAGTGACATATACCAGACAGTATGAGAAGAAATTGTGTATTGTATGTACAACGTGAGTGACATATACCAGACAGTATGAGAAGAAATTGTATATTGTATGTACAACGTGAGTGACCTATACCAGACAGTATGAGAAGAAATTGTGTATTGTATTTACAACGTGAGTGACATATACCAGACAGTATGAGAAGAATTTGTGTATTGTATGTACAACGTGAGTGACCTATACCAGAAAGTTGGGGGAAAACTAATGTGGAAAGAAGAACCACTTACACTCTTCCGAAAAGACGTTGTTCTAGTGTTTGATCAAAGAAATACCCATCTCAAAGATTTACTATAAGCCTCAATACAATAAGGAAGGACTTTCTTTATATTCAGAAAATAGAGGTTTTAATACTATTTGGATTCTCCAAAATTAAAACTGTTTGCACGATGTTCACGAAGTTCAGTTATGTCAAAACATTTGATTTTTCAACGTTGTATGGTACTATCCTACACGTCAAACTGAAAATGAATTTGTCAACAAACTCGGTGACATTAAGTACATCTACATCCTGATAGGTTTGTTAATTTGTCAAAACAGCCAGAAAACAATATGTCCAATGCTGTACTCAGGGCATACATGTATGTGAAATTTGAACATTGAGATGAGAAGAAGGCATCCCCATGGGCATCAATTGTGCTCCCCCTTGCTCATCTGTGTCTTTAAGCCTCCGACACATGATTTCCGCTCGTATTGGTAAAGCCAAAACAAGGGAATTTGGCCGAAAGGTTTAAATTGAGCTTCAGCTGATATCGTTCAAATAGCCAATTTCCTCTCTCTGATTTACCCCAATGAGCTTGAAAATAAAAGTGACTAGTGACGCATCTGTTTCGTATTTAGATCTTTGCATAAAGATGTGGGTAGCCAAATCTTGACAAGAGGGACTTCAACTTTCCAATAGTCAACTTTCCCTTCATGTCGAGCAATATTCCAGCAGCTCCAGCTTTTGTTGTTTACATATCTCAACGTTTGAGGTATAATCGAGCATGACCTTTCCACGAAGATTTCAAAGAGGGTCGTACGAATCTTTCTCAAAGTTTCTTTGATTACGTTTACAACATCCAAGGCCTCAGTAAAGTAAAACATTTAGGGTAGACAAGTAGAGGGGTTTTCCAAATTTGATGCATCAGAGACAAAAATCATGTTTGATGCAATTTCATAATTTGTGTACGTGACAATTGACTTGCCTTTGCATGTGTTTGTTACGGGTGCCATCGGTGGGTCAGGATACACTCACCATTTCGCGAACACCTGGTATCCTAATTTTGGGATAGTGATACATGCTCATGATATAGTCAGAGTCTTACAACTGACCGCACTCAGCAGAGATTCCTAATAACATCTTTTGTAAGCAGTGTTTCAGTATATATCCCATAATAGAATATCTATTTGTGATCGTGATTTCGATACTTTCTTTTCCTGATTATTATTATTGTTGCTATATTTTTGGTCACACGTGTGAGTAGCAAACCCACCTTCTCGTAGAATGGAACTGGGGTCCGATTTCTTCATGTCGGAAAAAGTATTCGAAGAATGTAAGCTTCCAGTTAAATCCGTATTTGATTACGTAATCTGGCCTGATGCTGTACTTGAGCGTAGTCGCATCGATGTAGTCAAGGACGCCCATCGCCAGCGTCCTCTTGTTCTTCCGAATCTCCATCAACAACGGCTCCAGCCTAAATGTAGAACTTGTACGTGTTTAATCACAAACACGGGTGAAACATGAACGTGACTAATCACACACACACAGGTAAAACATGCACATGGCTAATCACACACAGGTGAAACATGTAAGTGACGAATCACACACACGGGTGAAACATGTAAGTGACGAATCACACACACAGGTGAAACATGTAAGTGACGAATCACACACACAGGTGAAACATGCACATGGCTAATCACACACAGGTGAAACATGTAAGTGACGAATCACACACACAGGTGAAACATGTAAGTGACGAATCACACACACAGGTGAAACATGTAAGTGACGAATCACACACACAGGTGAAACATGTAAGTGATGAATCACACACACAGGTGAAACATGCACATGGCTAATCACACACAGGTGAAACATGTAAGTGACGAATCACACACACAGGTGAAACATGCACATGACTAATCGCACACAGGTGAAACATGTAAGTGACGAATCACACACACAGGTGCAACATGTACATGCTAGATACTGTAAGCTACAAACCACTGCACGTTCATCTCCATGTGACTGTCCAGGAAGACGAGGACCTCGCCCCTGGCTGCTCTCCATCCCGCCAGTCGGGACTGAATCAGTCCTCTACGCTCCCGCACACGCAGTATTCTAACCAGATACTTCGGAAAGTGCTCAGAGACATATTCATCCAGTTGCGACTTTAAACTCTCTGAAATCATTCGTTCACTGCATGTGAGCATTGTGCTGGTCGTGCATAGGATTCACAAACATAATCCTGATAAATATTATCTTGAGGGGCATCATCACCTTGTGATCGCTTCATGAGGAACACCATGAACACTGGACAGGGTTACGTCTGTATGAGTAAGCATTAAAGGCATCAGTAGAAGAAGTAGTAATAGTAGCTGTAGTAGTAGAAGTAGTAGTGGTAGTAGTAGTAGTAGTAGCAGCAGCAGTAGTAGAAGTATTAGAAGAAGTGGTGGTGGTAGTAGAAGTAGTAGTAGTAGTAGCAGCAGTAGTAGTAGTAGTAGCTGTAGTAGTCGAAGTAGTAGTGGTAGTAGTAGTAGTAGTAGCGGTAGTAGTAGTAGTAGTAGCAGCAGCAGTAGTAGTAGTAGTAGAAGTAGTGGTGGTGGTTGTAGTAGTAGTAGTAGTAGTAGTAGCAGCAGCAGCAGTAGTAGTAGTAGTAGTAGTAGTAGAAGTAGTAGTAGCAGTAGTAGCGGTAGTAGTAGCGGTAGTAGTAGTAGTAGTAGTAGTCATAGTAGCGGTGGTAGTAGAAGCAGTAGTAGTAGTAGTAGTAGTAGTAGTAGTAGTAGTAGTAAGTAGTAGTAGCAGTAGCTGCGGTAGTAGTAGCGGTAGTACTAGCGGTAGTAGTAGTAGTAGTAGTAGTAGTAGTAGCAGCAGCAGTAGTAGTAGTAGTAGTAGTGGTGGTGGTTGTAGTAGTAGTAGTAGTAGCAGCAGCAGTGGTAGTAGTAGTAGTAGTAGTAGTAGTAGTAGAAGTAGTAGTAGCAGTAGTAGCGGTAGTAGTAGTAGTAGTAGTAGTAGTAGTAGTCATAGTAGCGGTAGTAGTAGTAGTAGTAGTAGCGGTAGTAGTAGTAGTAGTAGCAGCAGCAGCAGTAGTAGTAGTAGTAGTAGTAGTAGAAGTAGTAGTAGCAGTAGTAGCGGTAGTAGTAGTAGTAGTAGTAGTCATAGTAGCGGTAGTAGTAGAAGTAGTAGTAGTAGTAGTAAGTAGAAGTAGCAGTAGCTGCGGTAGTAGTAGCGGTAGTACTAGCGGTAGTAGTAGTAGTAGTAGTAGTAGTAGTAGTAGTAGTAGTAATAGTAGCGGTAGTAGTAGAAGTAGTAGTAGCAGTGGCTGCGGTATTAGTAGCGGTAGTACTAGCGGTAGTAGTAGTAGTAGTAGTAGTAGTAGTAGTAGTAGTAGTAGTAGTATATAATCAAGCATATCAAGACGAGTCGAAGAAAGTTTATAATTCCAAGGCTTTTTCATATCAAAAGACACTCGGGTGAGATTCTATTTATCATCTAAAGTCATTCTTCCGACTTTTTTATTTTGAAAACAAATGTAAACAGTGTCTAGTGTAAAAGGCGCATTTAACCAGCTTCAGTGACAGAGTGGTAAGTGATGATTTCACACGGGCCTGCAATGCATAATGATGCAATTTCATCTAATGGTAATCAGTTTTGGATGATAATCATATCAAAGGTTGGAATGATTGAATGAAAATATCATAATCATTTCTCGCGTCATTTTTTGTTCTCATATGGTATGTAAAATACTAGCGTCATGCCAAGTTTTGATTACATACATTAAACGTTTATTCACGCTCTATCTTTGTACATGTTTACTCTATCTTTGTACATGTTTCCTCTATCTTTGTACATGTTTCCTCTATCTTTGTACATGTTTCCTCTATCTTTGTACATGTTTACTCTATCTTTGAACTTGTTTACTCTACCTTTGTACATGTTTGCTTTATCTTTGTACGTCTTTACTCTATCTTTGTACATGTTTCCTCTATCTTTGTACGTCTTTACTCTATCTTTGTACATGTTTCCTCTATCTTTGTACGTGTTTACTCTCTTCGTACATGTTTGCTCTATCTTTGTACATGTTTACTCTATCTTTGTACATGTTTCCTCTATCTTTGTACATGTTTCCTCTATCTTTGTACGTCTTTACTCTATCTTTGTACATGTTTCCTCTATCTTTGTACGTGTTTACTCTATCTTTGTACATGTTTCCTCTATCTTTGTACGTCTTTACTCTATCGTTGTACATGTTTACTCTATCTTTGTACATGTTTCCTCTATCTTTGTACATGTTTCCTCTATCTTTGTACGTCTTTACTCTATCGTTGTACATGTTTGCTCTATCTTTGTACATGTTTCCTCTACCTTTGTACGTGTTTACTCTCTTCGTACATGTTTGCTCTATCGTTGTACATGTTTACTCTATCTTTGTACATGTTTCCTCTATCTTTGTACGTGTTTACTCTCTTCGTACATGTTTGCTCTATCTTTGTACATGTTTACTCTATCTTTGTACATGTTTCCTCTATCTTTGTACATGTTTCCTCTATCTTTGTACGTGTTTACTCTATCTTTGTACATGTTTCCTCTATCTTTGTACGTGTTTACTCTCTTCGTACATGTTTGCTTTATCTTTGTACATGTTTGCTCTACCTTTGTACATGTTTCCTCTATCTTTGTACGTGTTTACTCTATCTTTGTACATGTTTACTCTACCTTTGTACATGTTTACTCTATTTTTGTAAATGTTTGTTCTAAGTTTGTATGTGTTTAATCTCTTTGTACAGGGGCGGTCGGGTAGCCTAGTGGTTAAAGCGTTCGCTCGTCACGCTGAAGACACGGGTTCGATTCCCGACATGGGTACAATGTGTGAAGCCCATTTGTGGTGTCCCCCGCGGTGATATTGCTGGAATATTGCTAAAAGCGGTGTAAAACCATACTCACTCACTCACTCTTTGTATATGTTTACTCTATCTTTGTACATGTTTGCTCTACCTTTGTACATCTTTACCCTATCTTTGTACGTGTTTCCTCAAACTTTGTACGTGTTTACTCTCTTCGTACATGTTTACTCTACCTTTGTACATGTTTACTCTACCTTTGTACATGTTTACTCTCTTTCTACATGTTTGCTCTCACTTTGTACATGTTTGCTCTAAATTTGTACATGTTTACTCTACCTTTGTACATGTTTACTCTCTTTGTACATGTTAACTCTAACTGTGTACATGTTTACTCTCTTTCTACATGTTTACTCTACCTTTGTACATGTTTACTCTCTTTGTACATGTTAACTGTAACTGTGTACATGTTTACTCTCTTTATACATGTTTACTCTACCTTTGTACATGTTTACTCTACCTTTGTACGTGTTTACTCTCTTTCTACATGTTTACTCTACCTTTGTACATGTTTACTCTACCTTTGTACGTGTTTACTCTCTTTGTACATGTTTGCTCTACCTTTGTACATGTTTGCTCTACCTTTGTACGTGTTTACTCTATCTTTGTACGTGTTTACTCTCCTTGTACATGTTTACTCTCTTTGCACATGTTTACTCTACCTTTGTACATGTTTACTCTCTTTGTACGTGTTACCTCTAACTGTGTACATGTTTACTCTCTTTCTACATGTTTACTCTACCTTTGTACATGTTTGCTCTACCTTTGTACTTGTTTAGTCTATCTTTGTACGTGTTTACTCTACCTTTGTACGTGTTTACTCTATCTTTGTACGTGTTTCCTCTATCTTTGTACATGTTTGCTCTATCTTTGTACATGTTTGCTCTATCTTTGTACGTGTTTACTCTACCTTTGTACGTGTTTACTCTACCTTTGTACATGTTTACTCTACCTTTGTACGTGTTTACTCTATCTTTGTACGTGTTTGCTCTATCTTTGTACATGTTTGCTCTATCTTTGTACGTGTTTGCTCTATCTTTGTACATGTTTGCTCTATCTTTGTACGTGTTTACTCTACCTTTGTACGTGTTTACTCTACCTTTGTACATGTTTACTCTACCTTTGTACGTGTTTACTCTATCTTTGTACGTGTTTGCTCTATCTTTGTACATGTTTGCTCTATCTTTGTACGTGTTTAGTCTATCTTTGTACGTGTTTACTCTACCTTTGTACATGTTTACTCTCTTTGTACATGTTTGCTCTACCTTTGTACATGTTTGCTCTACCTTTGTACGTGTTTACTCTACCTTTGTACGTGTTTACTCTATCTTTGTACATGTTTGCTCTATCTTTGTACATGTTTGCTCTATCTTTGTACGTGTTTACTCTATCTTTGTACATGTTTGCTCTACCTTTGTACGTGTTTACTCTACCTTTGTACATGTTTGCTCTAACTGTGTACATGTTTACTCTACCTTTGTACATGTTTACTCTACCTTTGTACATGTTTACTCTACCTTTGTACATGTTTGCTCAAACTTTGTACATGTTTACTCTCTTTGTACATGTTTACTCTACCTATGTACATGTTTACTCTACCTTTGTACATGTTTACTCTCTTTGTACATGTTAACTCTAACTGTGTACATGTTTACTCTACCTTTGTACATGTTTACTCTACCTTTGTACATGTTTACTCTACCTTTGTACATGTTTGCTCAAACTTTGTACGTGTTAACTCTAACTGTGTACATGTTTACTCTCTTTCTACATGTTTGCTCTTACTTTGTACATGTTTACTCTACCTTTGTACATGTTTACTCTCTTTGTACATGTTTACTCTACCTTTGTACATGTTTACTCTACCTTTGTACATGTTTACTCTCTTTCTACATGTTTGCTCTAACTTTGTACATGTTTGCTCTAACTTTGTACATGTTTACTCTACCTTTGTACATGTTTACTCTCTTTGTACATGTTAACTCTAACTGTGTACATTTTTACTCTCTTTCTACATGTTTACTCTACCTTTGTACATGTTAACTCTCTTTGTACGTGTTAACTCTAACTGTGTACATGTTTACTCTCTTTCTACATGTTTACTCTACCTTTGTACATGTTTACTCTCTTTCTACATGTTTACTCTACCTTTGTACATGTTTACTCTACCTTTGTACATGTTTACTCTACCTTTGTACATGTTTGCTCTTACTTTGTACATGTTTACTCTACCTGTGTACGTGTTTACTCTACCTTTGTACGTGTTTACTCTAACTTTGTACATGTTTACTCTATCTTTGTACATGTTTGCTCTATCTTTGTACATGTTTACTCTACCTTTGTACGTGTTTACTCTACCTTTGTACGTGTTTACTCTATCTTTGTACATGTTTGCTCTATCTTTGTACGTGTTTACTCTACCTTTGTACGTGTTTACTCTACCTTTGTACGTGTTTACTCTATCTTTGTACATGTTTGCTCTATCTTTGTACATGTTTACTCTACCTTTGTACGTGTTTACTCTACCTTTGTACATGTTTACTCTACCTTTGTACGTGTTTACTCTATCTTTGTACATGTTTACTCTACCTTTGTACGTGTTTACTCTACCTTTGTACGTGTTTACTCTATCTTTGTACATGTTTGCTCTATCTTTGTACATGTTTACTCTCTTTGTACATGTTTGCTCTTACTTTGTACATGTTTACTCTACCTTTGTACATGTTTACTCTATCTTTGTACATGTTTACTCTACCTTTGTACATGTTTACTCTACCTTTGTACATGTTTACTCTACCTTTGTACGTGTTTACTCTACCTTTGTACGTGTTTACTCTATCTTTGTACATGTTTGCTCTTACTTTGTACATGTTTACTCTACCTTTGTACATGTTTACTCTATCTTTGTACATGTTTACTCTACCTTTGTACATGTTTACTCTACCTTTGTACATGTTTACTCTATCTTTGTACATGTTTGCTCTATCTTTGTACATGTTTGCTCTATCTTTGTACGTGTTTACTCTACCTTTGTACATGTTTACTCTACCTTTGTACATGTTTGCTCTATCTTTGTACATGTTTGCTCAAACTTTGTACGTGTTTACTCTATCTTTGTACATGTTTACTCTATCTTTGTACGTGTTTACTCTACCTTTGTACATGTTTGCTCTATCTTTGTACATGTTTACTCTATCTTTGTACATGTTTGCTCAAACTTTGTACGTGTTTACTTTACCTTTGTACATGTTTGCTCTATCTTTGTACATGTTTGCTCTATCTTTGTACATGTTTGCTCAAACTTTGTACGTGTTTACTTTACCTTTGTACATGTTTACTTTACCTTTGTACATGTTTGCTCAAACTTTGTACATGTTTACTCTCTTTGTACATGTTTACTCTACCTATGTACATGTTTACTCTACCTTTGTACATGTTTACTCTCTTTGTACATGTTAACTCTAACTGTGTACATGTTTACTCTACCTTTGTACATGTTTACTCTACCTTTGTACATGTTTACTCTACCTTTGTACATGTTTGCTCAAACTTTGTACGTGTTAACTCTAACTGTGTACATGTTTACTCTCTTTCTACATGTTTGCTCTTACTTTGTACATGTTTACTCTACCTTTGTACATGTTTACTCTCTTTGTACATGTTTACTCTACCTTTGTACATGTTTACTCTACCTTTGTACATGTTTACTCTCTTTCTACATGTTTGCTCTAACTTTGTACATGTTTGCTCTAACTTTGTACATGTTTACTCTACCTTTGTACATGTTTACTCTCTTTGTACATGTTAACTCTAACTGTGTACATTTTTACTCTCTTTCTACATGTTTACTCTACCTTTGTACATGTTAACTCTCTTTGTACGTGTTAACTCTAACTGTGTACATGTTTACTCTCTTTCTACATGTTTACTCTACCTTTGTACATGTTTACTCTCTTTCTACATGTTTACTCTACCTTTGTACATGTTTACTCTACCTTTGTACATGTTTACTCTACCTTTGTACATGTTTGCTCTTACTTTGTACATGTTTACTCTACCTGTGTACGTGTTTACTCTCTTTGTACGTATTAACTCTAACTTTGTACATGTTTACTCTATCTTTGTACATGTTTGCTCAAACTTTGTACGTGTTTACTCTACCATTGTACATGTTTACTCTCTTTGTACATGTTTACTCTATCTTTGTACATGTTTGCTCTACTTTTGTACATGTTTGCTCAAACTTTGTACGTGTTTACTCTCTTCGTACATGTTTACTCTACCTTTCTACATGTTTGCTCTATTTTGTACATGTTTACTCCCTCAGAACATGTTTACTCTACCTTTGTACTTGTTTGCTCTACCTTTCTACGTTTACTCTATCTTTGTACACGGTTAATCTCTTTGTACATGTTTACTCTACCTTTGTACATGTTTACTCTATCTTTGTACGTGTTAACTCTACCTTTGTACATGTTAACTCTAACTGTGTACATGTTTACTCTCATTCTACATGTTTGCTCTATTTTGTACATGTTTACCCCCTTTGAACATGTTTACTCTACCTTTGTACGTGTTTACTCTATCTTTGTACATGTTTACTCTACCTTTGTACATGTTTATTCTATCATTCTACGTCTTTACTCTACCTTTGTACATGTGAACTATATCTTTGTACGTGTTTACTTTCTTTGTACTTGTTTAGTCTATCTTTGTACGTGTTTACTCTACCAAGGTACATGTTTGCTCTATCTTTGTACATGTTTGCTCTACCTTTGTACATGTTTACTCTACCTTTGTACATGTTTACTCTACCTTTGTACATGTTTACTCTACCTTTGTACGTGTTTACTCTACCTTTGTACATGTTTACTCTACCTTTGTACATGTTTACTCTATCTTTGTACGTGTTTACTCTATCTTTGTACATGTTTACTCTGTCTGTGTACGTGTTTACTCTATCTTTGTTCATGTTTACTCTACCTTTGTACATGTTTACTCTATCTTTCTACGTCTTTACTCTACCTTTGTACATGTGAACTATATCTTTGTACGTGTTTACTTTCTTTGTACTTGTTTAGTCTATCTTTGTACGTGTTTACTCTACCAAGGTACATGTTTGCTCTATCTTTGTACATGTTTGATCTACCTTTGTACATGTTTACTCTACCTTTGTACATGTTTACTCTACCTTTGTACATGTTTACTCTACCTTTGTATCGTCACGATATGGCTGAAATATTGCCGATGTGACGTTAAATATTAACTCACTCACTCTACCTTTGTACATGTTTACTCTACCTTTGTACATGTTTACTCTACCTTTGTACGTGTTTACTCTATCTTTGTACATGTTTACTCTGTCTGTGTACGTGTTTACTCTCTTTGTTCATGTTTATTCTATATTCATCAGGTTTCATCCACGTGTTCTAGGACAGTGAGGCTGCCACTCAAGTAATACCCATAGTGCTAGCATCATCAACAAGGATGACTTCCTTGAGCAGGGACGTCGGCGTTCTGTTGATGATACTGTAGACTGTCCTCAACAGCAGTGACGGCCACTCGTCATAGAAAGGCACGATGACGGTGGTTGTGGGTAGACCGTCTACAGGATACGTCAAGTTGCGGCAGCTGAAAGGCAAGTTGCGCTAATGTCAACCTCGGACATACTAACGTCAGGAATGAATACAAATAGGCAATGAATATACGGACAAAACTCGGCAATGACAAGTCAGGAAAAGCGGTAAGAATCAAGTTGGTCAAAATGACGTCGGGATGAGCTGAAAGTTTGATACAATGTAGTCTGGTCGGAATAACAATTTAGTTATAGTCGTGAATAACTACAAACTGATAAGAATAAAGTTGAGAATAGCTACATGGTAGTCTGAAATAGCATCACGTTGGTTACTACGTAGTCTGAAATAGCAACACGTTGGTTATTATGTAGTCTGAAATAGCAACACGTTGGTTACTACGTAGTCTGAAATAGCAACATGTTGGTTACTACATAGTCTGAAATAGCAACACGTTGGTTATTACTTGGTCTGAAATAGCAACAGGTTGGTTACTATGTAGTGTGAAAAGCTACACATTGGTTATTACGTAGTCTGAAATAGCAACATGTTGGTTATTACGTAGTCTGAAATAGCAACATGTTGGTTATTACTTGGTCTGAAATAGCAACACGTTGGTTTCTACGTAGTCTGAAATAGCAACACGTTGGTTACTACGTAGTCTGAAATAGCAACACGTTGGTTACTACGTAGTGTGAAATAGCAACACGTTGGTTACTACGTAGTCTGAAATAGCAACACATTGGTTACTATGTAGTCTGAAATAGCAACACGTTGGTTACTATGTAGTGTGAAAAGCAACACATTGGTAATTACGTAGTCTGAAATAGCAACATGTTGGTTATTACGTAGTCTGAAATTGCAACACGTTGGTTATTACTTGGTCTGAAATAGCAACACGTTGGTTACTACGTAGTCTGAAATAGCAACACGTTGGTTACTACGTAGTGTGAAATAGCAACACGTTGGTTACTACGTAGTCTGAAATAGCAACACATTGGTTACTATGTAGTCTGAAATAGCAACACGTTGGTTACTACGTAGTCTGAAATAGCAACATGTTGGTTACTATGTAGTCTGAAATAGCAACACGTTGGTTACTACGTAGTGTGAAATAGCAACACGTTGGTTACTACGTAGTCTGAAATAGCAACACATTGGTTACTATGTAGTCTGAAATAGCAACACGTTGGTTACTATGTAGTGTGAAAAGCAACACATTGGTAATTACGTAGTCTGAAATAGCAACATGTTGGTTATTACGTAGTCTGAAATTGCAACACGTTGGTTATTACTTGGTCTGAAATAGCAACACGTTGGTTACTACGTAGTCTGAAATAGCAACACGTTGGTTACTACGTAGTGTGAAATAGCAACACGTTGGTTACTACGTAGTCTGAAATAGCAACACATTGGTTACTATGTAGTCTGAAATACCAACACGTTGGTTACTACGTAGTCTGAAATAGCAACATGTTGGTTACTATGTAGTCTGAAATAGCAACACGTTGGTTACTACGTAGTCTGAAATAGCAACACGTTGGTTACTATGTAGTCTGAAATAGCAACACGTTGGTTACTACGTAGTCTAAAATAGAAACACGTTGGTTACTACGTAGTCTGAAATAGCAACATGTTGGTTACTACGTAGTCTAAAATAGAAACACGTTGGTTACTACGTAGTCTGAAATAGCAACATGTTGGTTACTACGGAGTCTGAAATAGCAACACGTTGGTTACTACGTAGTCTGAAATAGCAACATGTTGGTTACTATGTAGTCTGAAATAGCAACACGTTGGTTACTACGTAGTCTGAAATAGCAACATGTTGGTTACTACGTAGTCTAAAATAGAAACACGTTGGTTATTACGTGGTCTGAAATAGCAACACGTTGTTTTTTACGTAGTCTGAAATAGCAACATGTTGGTTACTATGTAGTCTGAAATAGCAACACGTTGGTTACTACGTAGTCTGAAATAGCAACACGTTGGTTACTACGTAGTCTGAAATAGAAACACGTTGGTTACTATGTAGTCTGAAATAGCAACATGTTGGTTACTACGTAGTCTGAACGAGTAATGATACAATGTACTGATGCAGACATTAATAACTTCTACCTACACCCAGCATGTCAACAGGTGCATTGTAAAAATCGCAGTGGTAGAGAAGAACAGGAGACCACATGAAATCCCCCTACGTAATAACCAAATTATTAACGGGGTTCAGCACAGTGCTTAAAGAACAAGTAATAGGAACATGAAAGTGAATTTCAAATTGACGTTACTTTGAAGTTACAACGGCAAGCAACAAGTTAACGATTTCAAATACCTATTTCAATAGGACATCGGTTACCTCTGGCATAATTAGATGATAAAACTCTTCAACATTATTAGGGGATTATGGAGAGAGCAAGGATTAAACGAAACTTTATTTTTCAAAATCTTAATTGAAAATGTTATCAGCACACAATGTTTCGCGTTAATTATTTCACGAACCCAACAGGGGCAGGGGTGGGGGTGGGTTGTGGGGGTGGGAGTGGGGGTCCATTTATGTATTAAAATGATTTCGATGGCACATATTTTGGACAGATATGTCTACGTTTCTAACGTGTTGGGTACGACGCCTCCAGAAGGGACTGAAGCTGTCTCCACGTCATTCTCCCATAGAGCCACCCCCATCCCCTAACGCCCACCTACCCGTTTAACCCCCACCTCCTATACAGATTACATGTGTATTCCTCCGTTACCACCTTTTAAAACCTACTTGTGATAGGGAAGTGCAAGTTTATGGAACGTAGTGTCCGAACAAGAAACATTCCTTGCTGACATAGTGACAGATAAATCTTACATCTACCCCATACAGTTACCCCTTGAAACACTTGAGGGTTGGTTTAGTGAGAGGTTGAATGAATGGGTGTGTGAGTGGGTTGGTTTAGTGAGTGGTTGAATGAGTGGGTGTGTGAGTGGGTTGGTTTAGTGAGTGGTTGAATGAGTGGGTGTGTGAGTGGGTTGGTTTAGTGAGAGGTTGAATGAGTGGGTGTGTGAGTGGGTTGGTTTAGTGAGAGGTTGAATGAGTGAGTGAGTGAGTGAGTGAGTGCAAGTAGGCGCTCGAGATCACTGGGCTGTTTGATGCACCAGTGATCCAGTTAGTGCGAGGGCGTGCATGCCAGGGCCGCCAGCCCGCTGCTTGGTGTAGGAGATATTGCAGTGAAACTGTGTCATTACGTCGGAGAACAATGCAGACTCTCGGGGAAGTTCCACACGCCCCTGACAAACACCAATTCCCATCCTACGGAACAATCACAGCCTCTCATACAAACATGAAAAAATACTGAACAAAAAAGTTAAGTTTATAAATATATTATAGGTGATATTTTTTATTAGTGAAGATTGAGTTTCCTCTAAATGTGTACGGTATCGTTCTGTTTTGTTCTGTATATATGCAATGAAGTCACAGTGACATGTGACTAGAGCGTTGTAGGTTTTGTTCAACAGTCATTGCGACTAAAATATATTTAGTTTACACCTTTTATATTTCTTTGTGCCGACATGCGCGGTTTCATTCGGTCATAAAGGACATTCCTGTTGTCAGTGTTATCAGCGACAATGTTTATAACGCAGAACGAAAAGCCATGATCGATATAAGTCATGACAGGACCGACCACCAAGCTCAAGGTATGGCAGGCCGGGGTATTTAGTTAAACACAAGGGTAACAGTTGATTTCCAATCATTCCCCTATTTATGTAAGTGTGCTCGCGCCTATATGGTGACTCAATGCCGGGTGCAAGCCGTTTATTAAAGTAGACGCGTGCGTAAAACCCAACTGTAAGATATGGCCCTGTAATGGTAGAGGTTTGGTCTCAGATCATTGAGACGAGGCGTGGTGAAAAGTCCTTAGCCTAACTGTGACGTGGTGAGTTGATCCAGGGGCGGTCGGGTAGCCTAGTGGTTGAAGCGTTCGCTCGTCACACCGAAGACCCGGGTTCGATTCCCGACATGGGTACAATGTGTGAAGTCCATTTCTCGTGACCCCCACCGTGATATTGCTAGAATATTGCTAAAAGTGGCGTAAAAGCATACTCACTCACTGGTGCTCATCCATAATACTATCATGTACATTATAATTAGTGGTGGCAGTTCAAGATCTTCCTGATTGGGATCCTATTCGAGGTTCCCTGGATTTCTTGGGTGACACAATGTCCGCAGGAATGGCTGTTGGATTTAGCTTTTACAGTTGGACATACTTGTTTATGCAAAGTGTGTGGGTGGTTGGAGTTTCGGGTAGGGCAGGACATGCTTACCTCTTTCGCTTACACCTAGTGTCATCACTGATGTTCTGGGGTCCATTCATGCACCGCTACTTTGCTTTTGTGTCCATTGAAATCTGTTTCGTCGGATAGCTAAGAGTGGTTATTGTCTGGCGTAGGCGTGGTATATTACTTCAAGCGTGAAACTCGGGGACGAGACATGTAGGACATAGTAGGCATGCCCCATGGGCCCCAACTGTGCTGCGTGCCTTGGTTATCTGTGTCGTCATGCATTGAGGACAGGTGGGCAAAATCAAGACAAATGAATTTGGCAAAGAAATTTAGTTTAACACTCAGTTATAGCAATGATATGATGTCATTTAATAATCGGTCAAATAGACAAATCCGTTCCATTGATGTACCGACCTGAATCAGAAAATAGAAGAGACCAGTGAGACCGCCTCTTCGGTTTCCCTTTTAGATGTGTGCATACAGATGTTCACAAGGCATGCCTTTAGTGTCTACATTTCTTTTGAGATACATTCGAACATGCTCTTTCCACGAAGATTTCAAAGATCATCACACAACATTTGCTCAAGAGTTCTATGACCAGGGTGACAACAAGGCGCAAGTAAGCCGCCAAGAAGATTATGGTATACACATGGAGGAGTTTGAAGGCATATAAAGTTGACGCATCATTGACGAAAAATCCCTATTTGGAGTGGAACCATAATTTCGCGTGTAATTCAATTGACTTGCCTTTGCATGGGTTTGCGACGGGTGCCACCGGTGGGACAGGATACGTTCACATTTTCGCGAAAACCTGTTAACATCACTATTTGATAGTGATTCACATGCTCATGATATAGTCGGAATCGTACAATGGTCTCTGCTTTAAGAGTTTTGTTGCTCTTACTATACTATAGCTCTGCTTGTCTCATCTCTCCTTACACTACTATAATCTGATTGGTTATGGAGCGGGCAATTATTTCCCCTGTAGTCCGCTCATGTACCCCTCTGAGAAATCAATCGTTGAGTTGAAATGAACCGATGTTTAAACGAATTCATTAGGTAAGGGGAAGTAACTCGGTTCGTTTCGTCGTCTGCTAGCTGTCAAAATGCCTTAATCAAAGCGTTTTACTCAGTGAACCTTCGGACATATATTCCGGGTCGTTATGTATAAATGCTGCTGAGATAAACTCGTTGTCAAACGAACCTTGGGGCACTGGCTTACGCCCGGGGGTCATATACTCCTCCAGATCGGTTGACAACTTATAAAATATATATATAGAGAGAGAGTTACTGCAATACCGCTCTGCTACATTTAATCTAAACTGAAAACAAATATAGAGCATTTCAAACATTCTCTATCAGCAATCAGTAAATAATTGAGTTGTAAATCACTGTCGCGAGAATTAAACACATTAGCCATTCAACTGCTAAATCGAGCTGCAAGATCAATCGATTCTATCGTGATTAAAAAACTACTAAAGTTTATTAGATGTAATCCATTTTGTGAGTTGTACCAGTTGGCTGTGTTCACCCATGACGCACATGAGAACCGATCTAACAATGAAAGTGTTAACCTGTTTCCATACAAGTACTGATGGTATAAGTAAATTCATCCGTTCAGCGGTGTATGTGAGGGTGTTGGCAATGTGAAGATATTTATTCGTCTCTTTAAACAAAGATTATTGACAACCTTCAACAATCATGTTGCAGTTCCACCAATATTATATCTTATACCTTTTATTATGAACATTTTTAATTCCCGTTAAATGTAGAAAAAGATCTTCCACTCCCCATTCCAGTACATCTAAGAACATGTATGACTCATTTCAGGTGGAGCAAGTTAGGGGAGAATCACAAATGTCTCCTATACTGAACAATTAGGTAAATATTGCATAGAAAATGGTAGATCTTTTATTTAAGATGAATTTCATGTATTGCTTGTTTGTGGGCGTTATTCAGCTCTAAGAAGTATGTACCATAAACAATGTATTAATTCTCAAACTGTAACATCTTTTACGGAAATATCTGTATCTGAAAACGTTTATGTATAACACATGTTTATATTTTTATAATACATGTTTATGTTATATTATGCCCAATGGCTATCAGAAACCTAATGGATTACGTCACTGACATGCGCAGATCATGCGACCAAACTTTACTGAATAAACTGTCTGTCCGTCAGTCTTTGTAGAAGACTGCTGTGCACTACTTAAGGGGAGGTTCAATAGGTTTAGACAATTAGACAATTGTATATTAACCTGTGTGTGTGTGGTGTGTGTGTGTGTGTGTGTGTGTGTGTGTGTGTGTGTGTGTGAGGGGAGAGGTGTATCCGTATAATCCGCGTCAGATTAGTTAAGGATATATCTAAGTGAACAGTGTGGTTACCTTTGGGGGCGGGAGTCTGGCACCCTCCTGTTGAGTGGGGTCAGGTCGCTGGCCAGGATGTTCACCCGGTACTCAGACAGAGACTTCTCCGCTGCTTCCTGCTCCTCGCCAACAAAGACAACACCGCGCCCATTCTCCCCTGTCTGAGACATGTCATTGTGGCCATAGTTGGCAATGAGGGGGTTTGGGGGGCCACCTCGCGTTGTACTCTGGGGAGTGCTCTGTCCAGTCTCTGTCCCTTCACAGTGTACCTCCCCGTCTTCAAGTAAGTCCTGCACAAATGTTTTTGACCGTGTGGTAGAATGTTTTGACGATATTAGAGCCAAAAATACACACAGTCCAAACACAAATAGCAAACTTAGTGGTACCTTCAGGGTGAAACGCATGACAAGGACCAACACACACCTGTCGGTACCCTCAGTACATCCAAACCTGTGTCGTCCAGTCAGTAGGGAATATCACCCTGTTGTGTGAATCTGGCGTGGGGATGCGACGAACGGCACTACCCTTGCAAGAATATCGTGACAGAGATCTCAGTTTGCTTGAAGTATTACCCTAAACAAAAACAATTGAACTTGTCCAGAAGACAAACTGCCGGCGAGACCCGGGTTGGCGTGTAGGTACTTTGTGCAAGTCAATACAACATCACACACTGATTATGTTGGTGACAGTATATCGACGCTCGGATTGGCTACTGAGGGCTGGACAGAGATATCCATTCTCGTCACTGGTTGGTTGTATGCGGAGGTGACAGGACGCGAGCAGCTCCTTGTCTTATTGATTTGTAACTTTAATAGCTTTTTCGTAAACCACAGCAAATTGTGTAAAATATTCGAGGATATTCTCGACCATGATAGTTCTGCTTACATTGTGCAAACATTCGGTGCGGAAAAGTTACTTATCAAAGCACCCACATCCCAAGCGCTCTTTCGGTAAAAAAATACAAAGTTGAAATAAAGGACAAAAGTACGCAATAATAGTCAGATTTTACGAATAAAGAATGAATGTTACGAATTATAGGTCAATTGGAAAACAGTTGTTTGTGTGATGTTAAGCCAGCATCAAACATAGGGGGGGGGGGGGGGGGGGGTGTTACATTATGTTCCCGGCAGTCCTTTACGGGTGAAGTTCGTCAAGCCAGGCATGCGGAGACGAGCGGTACGGTGACATGTGCTGACACAGCATTTTGGAAGTGAGGAGGGGTGCATGGGCAGCCATTAGGCAAAAAAATACAAAGTTCAACTAAAGGAAAAAAGACCGCAATAATGGTCAAATGTTACGGATAAAGAATGAATGTTACAAATAAAGGTCATTATTTACATACGAATAATGAACTCCAAATACAAAAGACTACCAATGAACAACTCGCAAGCCAAAGACGTCATTTGTGTTGATACCACCTAAGGCCAGGTCCGTGACCACTACTTCATCACTTTAGACCAGAGTGTGTTTAATGCATGGCGATGCTTCCTCGACAGACAGGGACAGCGGGGAAGGCGCAGTAGAATACCTCTGCTGATATTACTTTTGAACTGGAAACGAAAACCACTACATCAAAGAAAACATCTCTGGGTGATGGCAAAAACAGAGATAGACAAATTAAACAACTCATCACCAAATTTGAAGTCGAGGGAGTGCCTGTCAAGCAAAACACTGCAGATGCGGGCTGGTTGATAGCATCAACTGCAATGGATACTTCCCGAACTCAGCATTCTGCTCATTACTGCTGTGGGTACAGCCACATATGGTAATGATGGTCACACAAGGCAGCATGAAACAGCACCTTATGTTTGTACATGCATCATTCACTGGATGTGATACTGTGTCAGCGTTCTACAATCAAGGGAAGACGAACGCTATTGCACAGTTTATTGGTACCAACAATTGGGACTGTTTGAGTGTCTTCCATCGAACTGTTTGATCTAACGGTTGGATCGCACAAGTTCGAGAGACGCTCCTTCTGAAGCTGTCTGGAGATGCGGGGTCAAAGTCACTGGACAAACACAGCCACAAGATGTACTTCAGATCCATTCATCGAGCATCCTTATCTTCATCTGGATTCTAGTTGGAATTCCTCCCTCCAACATCGGCAGCCGCCAAATGTGGTTTGGTGGCACCACAGAGAGGACTGCTTGTTCCCATTGAAACTGACAGACCTGTTGCTTCTGAAAGTCCTAAAGACGATATTCTGAGCCTGCAATTATGTAAATATAAATTGTCAATGCAAGAGAATAACAAGTTTGGATTATCCGCTGAAACAGATTCCATTTGGCGTAAAGGGCAATGAATGGACCACGGAACATCAGTGATGACACCATGGGTTCGTGTAAAGGGTAAGTATGTCTTGCCTTACCGGTAGCACCCAACTGCAACATTCACATAATTTGCATAAACAAGTAAGTAATTATTGCCTGACGTCGCACAATATACTCCTGCCATGCCAATCAAGCGATCGATGAAGAAAAAAAATCCAGTGAACAAGAGTGCATTTACTAATTTTGATGAAACCACTAAATAAGACATGATACTTTGGAATTACGTCTACTGTGTACAAGTGCAGAGATTCTGCTGCTTATAAGTAAAGAAAAACGTTGAAGAAATAAATTCGTTTTCAAACACAGTAAGGGCAGTTTTCATGTGTCGGCCCAACCATTGATGTGTGTTCCTGTTAAACAGTATTGACAATTCAGAAATACCTTTTTTTTCTTTTAGATAGTGTTTTTATAATTATCCAACCTGACTATATATACTACCGGGTATTCCGAAAAAGATTGAAATAATTCTTCAAATGCTTATCAAACAAAATTACAGAACAAGGTTAAATCATTTATATTTTCAAAGTTTATATGAAGATCTTTATAATATAGAATGCATAATATGAATATAAAATTACAAAATTGCATGTCATTTTTAAACATAATGGCGGTCATTTTGAAAATGCCACGAGGGGGGATCAGCTTTCTACTATTTGAGGTGAGGGTGGGGGAGGGGGTGGGGTGTGGGAGGAGGCGGGGCTGGGGGAGGGGTGTCGAAAAACATAAGTTGACAATGAAAAAAAGAAATTGCCTCCCACAAAAATTATATTGTTTTGTATCTGTTGCTGAAATTGTCAAAAGTATCAAATCTCGATAGTTAATCCCATTAACCCCGGTCAATGGATCAGTGTGAACTCCACAATATCAGCTCCCTGAGCAGTATACACTCCAAGCTGCCTGTGAGACGCTAGAAGGTTACTCAACCTACTCATCCTAGAAATTCTCGGGAGCCAAGCTGCCGAACATGGTCACCCATCCATCTCCGCGAGCACCTGATGTGTGCCAATGTGGACGTGCACAGGACCACGTGCCAACACCAGTGTGCCTTGTACTTTTGTGTCTGTTTTGTCCAGTGGTAGAGCAGCACAGTGAGTTCCTTTAGTCCTTTAGTCCATTGGTAGAGCAGGACAGTGTGTCCCTTTCGTCATGTTACAGAGCAGCACAGTGTGTTCCTTTAGTCCTGTTACAGAGCAGCACAGTGTGTCCCTTTAGTCCTGTTACAGAGCAGCACAGTGTGTTCCTTTAGTCCTGTTACAGAGCAGCACAGTGTGTTCCTTTAGTCCTGTTACAGAGCAGCACAGTGTGTTCCTTTAGTCCTGTTACAGAGCAGCACAGTGTTCCTTTAGTCCTGTTACAGAGCAGCACAGTGTGTCCCTTTAGTCCTGTTACAGAGCAGCACAGTGTGTTCCTTTAGTCCTGTTACAGAGCAGCACAGTGTGTTCCTTTAGTCCTGTTACAGAGCAGCAGTGTGTTCCTTTAGTCCTGTTACAGAGCAGCACAGTGTGTTCCTTTAGTCCTGTTACAGAGCAGCACAGTGTGTTCCTTTAGTCCTGTTACAGAGCAGCAGTGTGTTCCTTTAGTCCTGTTACAGAGCAGCACAGTGTGTTCCTTTAGTCCTGTTACAGAGCAGCACAGTGTGTTCCTTTAATCTTGTTATAGAGCAGCACAGTGTGCTCCTTTACTCCAGTGATAGAGCAGCAGGGTGTGTCCGTTTAGTCCAGTGATAGAGCAGCACAGTGTGACCCTTTAGTCCAGTGATAGAGCAGCACAGTGTGTCCGTTTACCCCAGTGATAGAGCAGCACTGTGTGTTCTTTAGTCAGTGATAGAGCAGCAGGGTGTGTTCTTTACTCCAGTGACAGAGCAGCACAGTGTGTTCCTTTACTCCAGTGACAGAGCAGCACAGTGTTCCTTTAGTCCAGTGATAGAGCAGCACAGTGTGTCCCTTTAGTCCAATGATAGAGCAGCACAGTGTGTTCTTTAGTACAGTGACCATTTAGTCTTGTGATAGAACAGAATGCACAGTGTGTTCTTTAGTCCAATGATAGGGCAGCACAGTGTGTTCTTTAGTCCAATGATAGGGCAGCACAGTGTGTTCCTTTACTCCAGTGGCAGAACAGCACAGTGTTCCTTAGTCCAGTGATAGAGTAGCAGTGTGTCTCTTTAGTCCAATGATAGAGCAGCACAGTGTGTCCTTTAGTATAGTGAGCATTTAGTCTTGTGATAGAACAGCACGCACAGTGTGTCCCTGTAGTCCAGTGATAGAACAGCACAGTGTTCTTTAGTCAGTGATAGAGCAGCACAGTGTGTTCTTTAGTACAGTGACAGAGCAGCAGTGTGTGTCCCTTTACTCCAGTGATAGAGCAGCACTGTGTGTCCCTTTAGTACAGTGATAGAGGAGCACAGTGTGTTCTTTAGTACAGTGACAGAGCAGCAGTGTGTGTCCCTTTACTCCAGTGATAGAGCAGCACTGTGTGTTCCTTTAGTACAGTAATAGAGGAACACTGTGTGTCCCTTTAGTACAGTGATAGAGGAGCACAGTGTGTTCTTTAGTACAGTGATAGAGCAGCACTGTGTGTCCCTTTACTCCAGTGATAGAGTAGCACAGTGTGTCCTTTTAGTATAGTACAGTGATAGAGCAGCACAGTCTGTCCCTTTAGTCCAGTGATAGAGCAGCACTGTGTGTCCCTTTAGTACAGTGACAGAGCAGCACAGTGTGTCCCTTTAGTCCAGTGATAGAGCAGCACAGTGAGTTCCTTTAGTACAGTGATAGAGCAGCACAGTGTGTCCCTTTAGTACAGTGACAGAGCAGCACAGTGTGTCCCTTTCATACAGTGACAGAGCAGCAGTGTGTGTCCGTTTACTCCAGTGACAGAGCAGCACAGTGTGTCCCTTACTCCAGTGATAGAGCAGCACAGTGTGTCCCTTTAGTCCAGTGATAGAGCAGCACAGTGAGTTCCTTTAGTACAGTGATAGAGCAGCACAGTGTGTCCCTTTAGTACAGTGATAGAGGAGCACAGTGTGTTCTTTAGTACAGTGATAGAGCAGCACTGTGTGTCCCTTTACTCCAGTGATAGAGTAGCACAGTGTGTCCTTTTAGTATAGTACAGTGATAGAGCAGCACAGTGTGTCCCTTTAGTCCAGTGATAGAGCAGCACAGTGTGTCCCTTTAGTACAGTGACAGAGCAGCACAGTGTGTCCCTTTCGTACAGTGACAGAGCAGCAGTGTGTGTCCGTTTACTCCAGTGATAGAGCAGCACAGTGTGTCCCTTTAGTACAGTGACAGAGCAGCACAGTGTGTCCCTTTCGTACAGTGACAGAGCAGCAGTGTGTGTCCGTTTACTCCAGTGACAGAGCAGCACAGTGTGTCCCTTTACTCCAGTGATAGAGCAGCACAGTGTGTCCCTTTAGTCCAGTGATAGAGCAGCACAGTGAGTTCCTTTAGTACAGTGATAGAGCAGCACAGTGTGTTCCTTTAGTACAGTGATAGAGCAGGACAGTGTGTTCTTTAGTCAGTGATAGAGCAGCAGTGTGTGTCCCTTTAGTACAGTGACAGATCAGCACTGTGTTTCCATTTAGTACAATGATAGAGCAGCACTGTGTTTCCGTTTAGTACAATGATAGAGCAGCACAGTGTGTCCCTTTAGTAAAATGATAGAGCAGCACAGTGTGTTCCTTTAGTCCAGTGATAGAGCAGCACAGTGTGTCCCTTTAGTTCAGTGATAGAGAAGCACAGTGTGTCCCTTTACTCCAGTGATAGAGCAGCACAGTGTGTCCCTTTAGTACAGTAATAGAGCAGCACAGTCTGTCCCTTTAGTCCAGTGATAGAGCAGCACTGTGTGTCCCTTTAGTACAGTGACAGAGCAGCACAGTGTGTCCCTTTCGTACAGTGACAGAGCAGCACAGTGTGTCCGTTTACTCCAGTGATAGAGCAGCACAGTGTGTCCCTTTAGTCCAGTGATAGAGCAGCACAGTGTGTTTCTTTAGTCACTAAGTACAGTGATAGAGCAGCACAGTGTGTTCCTTTAGTACAGTGATAGAGCAGCACTGTGTGTCCCTTAGTCCAGTGATAGAGCAGCACAGTGTGTCCCTTTAGTCCAGTGATAGAGCAGCACAGTGTGTCCTTTTAGTCCAGTGATAGAGCAGCACAGTGTGTCCCTTTAGTCCAGTGATAGAGCAGCACAGTGTGTTCCTTTAGTACAGTGATAGAGCAGCACAGTGTGTCCCTTTAGTCCAGTGATAGAGCAGCACAGTGTGTCCCTTTAGTCCAGTGATAGAGCAGCACAGTGTGTCCCTTTAGTCCAGTGATAGAGCAGCACAGTGTGTTCCTTTAGTACAGTGATAGAGCAGCACTGTGTGTCCCTTTAGTTCAGTGATAGAGCAGCACAGTGTGTCCCTTTAGTTCAGTGATAGAGCAGCACAGTGTGTCCCTTTAGTACAGTGATAGAGCAGCACAGTGTGTCCCTTTAGTCCAGTGATAGAGCAGCACAGTGTGTTCCTTTAGTACAGTGATAGAGCAGCACTGTGTCCCTTTAGTTCAGTGATAGAGCAGCACAGTTTGTCCCTTTAGTTCAGTGATAGAGCAGCACAGTGTGTCCCTTTAGTACAGTGATAGAGCAGCAGGGTGTGTCCCTTTAGTCCAGTGATAGAGCAGCACAGTGTGTCCCTTTAGTCCAGTGATAGAGCAGCACAGTGTGTTCCTTTAGTACAGTGATAGAGCAGCACAGTGTGTCCCTTTAGTTCAGTGACAGAGCAGCACTGTGTGTCCCTTTAGTCCAGTGATAGAGCAGCAGGGTGTGTCCCTTTAGTACAGTGATAGAGCAGCACAGTCTGTCCCTTTAGTCCAGTGATAGAGCAGCAGGGTGTGTCCCTTTAGTACAGTGATAGAGCAGCACAGTCTGTCCCTTTAGTACAGTGATAGAGCAGCACAGTGTGTTCCTCTAGTACAGTGATAGAGCAGCAGGGTGTGTTCCTTTAGTACAGTGATAGAGCAGCAGGGTGTGTCCCTTTAGTATGGATGAACCAATGGAATTGCAAGATCCTTATTAGAGGTTTTACAACACTAAATAACAACAAAACAAACAATATGTCATTAATATCAACAAAACATTTATTAAATGGTCATTTGATAGAATATTTCAACAAGTGGCATCAAGACCTGCTTATATAAAATTAGAGAAATAGGTGTGGACTGACAACACAGTGACTGATGATACAACAAGGGCCCCTGCTCTCTGACCTGACTGAGCTCTGCCCCACACTCTCTGACCTGACTCAGTCCTGCCCCATGCTCCCTGACCTGACTCAGCTCTGCCCAACGTTCACGGACCTGACTCAGCCCTGCCCCATGCTCAGGGACCTGACTCAGCCCTGCCCCATGCTCACGGACCTGACTCATCCCTGCCCCATGCTCATCGACCTGACTCAGCCCTGCCCAATGCTCACGGCTTGACTCGGCCCTGCCCCATGCTCACAGACCTTACAGCCCTGCCCCACACTCACGGACCTGACTCATCCCTGCCCCATGCTCATCGACCTGACTCAGCCCTGCCCAATGCTCACGGACCTGACTCGGCCCTGCCCCATGCTCACAGACCTTACAGCCCTGCCCCACACTCTCTGACCTGACTCAGCCCTGCCCCACACTCTCTGACCTGACTCAGCCCTGCCCAGTGCTCACGGACCTGACTCATCCCTGCCCCATGCTCATGGACCTGACTCAGCCCTGCCCAATGCTCACAGACCTGACTCATCCATGTCCCATGCTCATGGACCTGACTCAGCCCTGCCCAATGCTCACGGACCTGATTCAGCCCTGCCCCACACTCTCTGACCTGACTTAGCCCTGCTCTTCACTCACGGACCTGACTCAGCCCTGCCCCACGCTCACAGACCTGACTTAGCCCTGCTCTTCACTCACGGACCTGACTCAGCCCTGCCCCACGCTCACGGACCTGACTTAGCCCTGCCCCAGGCTCACGGACCTGACTCAGCCCTGACCCACGCTCATGGACCTGACTCAGCCCTGCCCCAAGCTCACTGACCTGACTCAGCCCTGCCCAACGCTCACGGACCTGACTCAGCCCTGCCCCACGCTCATGGACCTGACTCAGCCCTGCCCAACGCTCACGGACCTGACTCAGCCCTGCCCCACGCTCATGGACCTGACTCAGCCCTGCCCCACACTCACGGACCTGACAGCCCTGCCCGACACTCTCTGACCTGACTTAGCCCTGCTCTTCACTCACGGACCTGACTCAGCCCTGCCCCTACCCTCACTGGCCCGATATCCTCTGAACAAGACCCCCCCTCCCCCCCTCCCCCCCTACACACAGCAGCTTGATGCTGCAGCCCAACAGTACCATGTCTACTCTGTACAATTCAGCCAGCAGTACAGGTATTTTCACAAATACCCACCCCTAGGCAGTGTTCTAGTAACAGTGATCAACAGGGACCATACAGGCAACAAGGTAACAGTCACAAAACATGACAAGACAAAATACAAATATATTCAAACCCAAATTCCATTCAGAGCCTAAACAGCACCATGATATACAGCAACAATGTGTATAGACGATTCACTGTTCACAATGCTCCATATAAACTAGCAATATGGCAGGAATTGTATCTCACCCAAAGGCCAACAAAATCCAGGTGGGATTCCCCACGGAGATGCACGAGTATGATATGATCGCAGAGCAGTTGAAGGGGTGTGGGTCATGTTACAAACAAAACTTTAGGGCAAACATTTCAACATTCTTATAATTCTGGTATGTTATGTGGTCTATCTGTGTAACACTGCAAACATGTTTGAGTATGCAAAGTGGATCTAATGGCGGCAAATGACCAGCCACGTTCTGGAGCAGGTGTTACGAACCTATCAGCTACTTAGGTGGGAGACAGGGAGACAGAGGTCAGGAAGTAAATGCAACCTTTCAAATGATCATTCTTGGCTAACATTCACCAAAATACTGCATAGTACATGTTACACTAGCTGTACATTGTTCTCTAGCCCTGAACATGTGTTATATATACATAGGACTATACATCTGTGTTATATAATGTTGTATTTACTCAGTGGGTATTTACATCGTGTGAAGATGAAGACAATGGGATGTTTGTACAAATGAGGTGATAGTGTTGAATAAGGATGGGAATGTGAATGAGATGCAATGTGAAGTGACTTGGTGAGTGTGTGGGGAAATGGTGCTTCCACCAAAACTCCAGCCTGTCCAGACAGCAAACTCTGATTCTAGAGAGCAGACACTGATTCCAGACAGCAGACCCTGATTCTAGAGAACAGACACTGATTCTAGACGGCAGACACTGATTCTAGACAGCAGACACTGATTCCAGACAGCTGACACTGATTCTAGACAGCGGATATGGATAGGCAGATACAGAGGGGGGGGGGGGGGGTCCGGACTCCCCCTTTTGAAAACCAACTGTAGTAAGTTGTAGGCAGTAAAATAATCTGAGAGAGGATTTTGTTATATTGGACCCCTTCCTTTTAAAAATGCTGGATCTGCCCTTGGACATGAGGTGGGGCTTGATGTACCCTGGTGCTGTGTATAAAGAGTGCATGCACTTCAAGGCCACCCTGCTTGTCCCGAATGACACTGCAAAGTTTCACAAGACACGTCTGTATAACACACAAAATAGTTTCAGAAAGTAGGAAACCAACATATAAAAAACAAATTCTGCCAATCCTTTCCCTGTGTATGCATGCATCATATCAAACACTACGATTACACACGTAATACAATACAACTAACGGAAAGGGTAGTCGCCTTCTATTAAAACCCATACAAGTCAGTCAGCCTGTACGAACATCATGACATCACAGTGTTTCATATAAACGTCATCTTGCGTCACAGTTTACCTTGTTCACATACCTCCTTTCCATACCCAGCCCACTGGCAAACCTGATATTGTCACAAAAATATTTTTCACCCAAGTCGATGTGTTACATGTGTTATCTATTTATGGATGTACTGGATTTCACAAGCTGAATGATCTTATACACCTTCAGCTAGAGCTTTTATGAAAGGATGAGTTTGGTGAGGAGTCGATGACTGAGAATCATGGTCCTATATGCAAGGATTTAGTGTTTTTAACACACGCAGATATACAAGCCGAGTTAGTTCATACAATTCTTAGAAATATTGATACCCCATGCACAGAAAGAATTATTGATACCCCATTTACAGACAAATATTATTAATAGCCTGTGATGTACACAATGAGTGAGTGAGTGAGCATGGTTTTATGCACACTTTAGCCATGTGGGGAATCAAACTCGGGTCTTCAACATGAAGGGCCAATGCCTTAACCAGTAGGCTACCCCACCGCCCCTGATGTACACAGAAAAGTTGATAGCCCATGTGCAGAGAAATATTTATACTCTATGTAGACAGAGAAATATACTGAACCAAATTAAAAACTTCACAATCCTAAAATTTTAACATTTTGACCAGTTGTCATTGTGGGCCCTTATTGTGTATTTAAACAGTAATGGACACGTATTGTCTTCAGATAACACCCGTTTTTGTGCAGGTGAATCGATCAAAATCATGTGCACAGCACTATAGTAGCAAAAGTGGTTTTTCAAGTGCAACTGGTCACGTGGCCATAATACCGCACGTGTTTTCAGCAATACTTGTTAACAAAAAAAGAAAAACACAAGAAAACAAAAGTCTTTACAGCCATTTGTCATGCCACGCCTTTCAAATGTGCAACGTGAACGTGCCATCGACATGTTGCAGACGGGTACGTCCGTAGCTGAAGTCGCAAGGACGATGGGTTGTAGTCGATGGACTGTTTATGATTTACAGACGCAACTACAGCAAATGGGTACCACTGCTGATCACCCTCGGCCAGGTCGACCACGTGTGACGTCACATGCAGAGGATCGTCAGACTGTCTTACGTCACCTCCGTAACCGATTTTTGACGGCTACATCAACCAGAAATGAACTGTTTGGGGGTAGACTAAGTGCGCAAACTGTTCGAAACCATCTGAGAACTGCTCATCTTCAAGCACAATGGCCATACTGCGGGCCGATTCTGATTCAATTACACTACACAGACGTCAACGTCAATTGTGGGCACAGCGACACTTACAATGGACTCAGAGGAATTGGAATCAAGTCGTCTTCAGTGATGAATCCCGATTTAATCTTCAATTTGCTGATGGTCGGGCGAGGGTGTGGAGGCGCCGTCATGATCGTAAGCCCAGTGTTGTGTACAGGAAGTTGACAGATTTCAAGGCGGAAGTGTCATGGTGTGGGGTGCTTTCTGTGGCAATGCACGTTCCAGGCTTCTTGTCATCCGTTGCAACCTCAACGCTGCTGCTTACTGCGACCAGGTACTGGCACCAGAACTTCTGCCTTTTATGGCAGCACATGGACCCGGTTTGATCTTCCAACACGACAATGCCATACCCCACACAGCAATTTTGACAAGGAATTTCCTTCAGAATGCGGGAGTCAACGTCATGGACTGGCTGTCAAGGTCTCCCGACCTCAATCCCATCGAACATGTCTGGGATGCTCTTGGCAGAAGTCTGCGCACTCTCCAGAACCAACCACAGAATTTGCAAGTTCTTGGCACCATTTTGCAGCAACAATGGCGTCGTCTTCCCAATCATGTGTTCACAAGCATCACAAGGGCCATGCGGAGGCATTGTGTGGCAGTTGTCAGTGCACATGGTGGCCACACACGCTACTGAACTTGTGTGCCATCAGATTCTCGTGCTTGGGACTTATGATTTAAACTGTTGATGTTATTACCGAATACTCTAGGTGCTTGGAACAAATTATGGTTACCACCGTTAATTAAAATCCTTCTTTGGACATTAATGATTAAAAAGTACCTTCTCTGATACATTTGTCATTGTATATCATATATGGGATTACTTTTAAAAATGTGAAGTTTTTAATTTGACTCAGTATATCCATACTCTATGTAGAAAGAGAAATATTTATACTCTATGTAGACAGAGAAATATTTATACGCTATGCAGACAGAGAAATATTCATAATCTATGTAGACAGAGAAATATTTATAATCTATGTAGACAGAGAAATATTTATACTCTATATAGACAGAGAAATATTGATACTCTATGGAGACAGAATAATATTGATACCCAGTGATGTACGAAGAGAAATATTCATATCCCATGTACAGAGAGACATAAGGACATAAGTACCATTCTCATTAACATAACAGCCTAACATTATACAGGACTTCATGGTAAAAAACATCTTTTAACCCTTCTCGAACTCATAGAAAGGTTTCAAAAACAGAAAGACATAACAAAATGTTTAGGACCATCGTATATAATTATTTGAAAGTCTGTCTACAATATCTACTTTGATGAATCATCTTCTTGTTACTTTCATAGATCAAAACAAACTTGACAGCAGAGAGAATACACATGTGCACAATGAAACCTTGTTCCTTACTCGACACATCAATCTGTATTGCTGGAACTACCATACATCAATCACACTGCCACACCCTTCAGTCCAGTACATGAGTGTGGGCATGAACAATCTCAATCACACACCACTCGTACTCATATCTACAACATGACGAGGCCTACAGCTTGAGTAACTTGACATGGATGCAACCTAATACAGAATACTTAGTCAACTTCTAAATTCCCCGAGGCAGGCGCAAGGACGTCCCCTGAAGTTCTGAGTTGTTCAGGACCAGCCGTACATACTCCGTATCTGGATTTCACAAGCTGAATGATCTTGCACACCACTCGATATTCAGCTACAGCTTTCATGCATGGATGAGTTTGGTGGTGAGTCAATGTGAGAGAATCATGGTGCTATATGCATCAAGAATCTGCTTTAACAATATAGCATTATCAAGCAAGGATTTGACTTAATAAGGCTGTCACTGTGTTAAACTGCTAAAGCCAAATTCCTGACATGGATATCATTTCATTGCTACACACCTAACCCCTTCCATGAGGAGAATTTTATTTCAGTGAACTGTGAGAAAATTAAGATGAGTTTAAAACACTGAAACAATTTGAAGCTGATATACCAAGTGTTTTCATGAACATCAGTTTTCACAGTAATAATCAAAACTCTATCTTTAGTAGGCAAAGCAGGACAAAATTCCTGTTTCACAACCTAGTCATGAGTGTCAAGCTTTTGTATGTGGAGCTTGTGTGTAGCTTGTGTGGAGCTTGTGTGTAGCTTGTGTGTAGCTTGTGTGTGCTTCCCCTGGCTGGGTTAGTCTACACATGTAGGGTCATGTCTAGACATCCAGATGTCCAGATGTTTGCCCTCCGTGTTGAACCTGCCAATCACAGAGAGGCCCTGGCACCAAGTAGTGTGTGTAGTCCTTGGTACAACAACCCCATAAAATCACTCCAGGACACAGAGAGGCCCTGGCACCAAGTAGTGTGTGTAGTCCTTGGTACAACAACCCGATAAAATCACTCCAGGACACAGAGAGGCCCTAGTACCAAGTAGTGTCTGTAGTCCTTGGTACAACAACCCGATAAAATCACTCCAGGACACAGAGATGCTCTGGCACCAAGTAGTGTCCGCGGTTCTTGGTACCAAAACCTGACAGAATTACCTCCTGACACAGAGATGCTCCAAGTAGTGTCTGATCCTTCTTGGTAGAACATACCGGCACAGTTCTCTAATCACACAGAGATGCTCAGGATCAGTGTTCAGTACCACAGCCCAGCGTAGTTACCCCATGACACTGACGACAGAGGTCCCCCCGCGGCAAACAAACGTGTGCCACTCGAGTCATAGGCATGAGTATACACTGCATTAGGGAACCCTGGGTTGGACAAGAAATAGCGGTCATCCTCCTCTGGTTTCTGAAACAGTCAAGGAGCCTGATATTCCTCACAGAAGCAGGTTGGACAACACAAAAGCATGGACTGGCAGTAAATCACGATTAGACCAATTGGGACAGAATGTGTTTACTGTTTCATCTCATGAATACATGACACTTTTTATGGATAGCAACTTCTTTTTATTCTTTGTACGACGTTTCAGAGATACTTCTTGCTCCTTCATCAGGTGAATGCTAAGTAAGTGCATAGGGTGCTATATATCATGATGTTTACACAACACAAGGTGGATGAGTGTACAAAGATAACAACATAATGACAACTCCTAAATGCCTATCAAAGACTTTGTTTCATCCCTCTGAAGTAAACTATATTTGTGTGGGTCTGTCAGCCGTGTGTTGTGTGAGGGTCTCTCAGCTGTGTGTTGTGTGAGGGTCGGTTAGCTGTGTGTTGTGTGAGGGTCTGTTATCTGTGTTGTGTTAGGGTCTGTTAGCTGTGTGTTGTGTGAGGGTCTGTTAGCTGTGTGTTGTGTGAGGGTCTGTTAGCTGTGTGTTGTGTGAGGGTCTGTTAGCTGTGTGAGGGTCTGTTAGCTGTGTGTTGTGTGAGGGTCTGTTAGCTGTGTGTTGTGTGAGGGTCTGTTATCTGTGTTGTGTGAGGGTCTGTTAGCTGTGTGTTGTGTGAGGGTCTGTTAGCTGTGTGTTGTGTGAGGGTCTGTTATCTGTGTGTTGTGTGAGGGTCTGTTAGCTGTGTGTTGTGTGAGGGTCTGTTATCTGTGTTGTGTGAGGGTCTGTTAGCTGTGTGTTGTGTGAGGGTCTGTTATCTGTGTGTTGTGTGAGGGTCTGTTAGCTGTGTGTTGTGTGAGGGTCTGTTAGCTGTGTGTTGTCAGAGGGTCTGCTAGCTGTGCGTTGTGTGAGGGTCTGTTAGCTGTGTGTTGTGTGAGGGTCTGTTAGCTGTGTGTTGTGTGAAGCTCTGTTATCTGTGTTGTGTGAGGTCCTGTTAGCCATGTGTTGTGTGAGGGTCGGTTAGCTGTGTGTTGTCAGAGGGTCTGTTAGCTGTATGTTTTAAGAAGCTCTGTTCTCTGTGTTGTGTGAGGTCCTGTTAGCCGTGTGTTGTGTGAGGGTCGGTTAGCTGTGTGTTGTCAGAGGGTCTGCTAGCTGTGTGTTGTCAGAGGGTCTGTTAGCAATGTGTCTTGTGAGGGTCTGTTAGTCGTGGGTTGTGTGAAAGTGTGAGAGTCTGTTAGCGGTGTGTTGTCAGAGGGTCGGTTAGCTGTGTGTTGTGTGAAGCTCTGTTATCTGTGTTGTGTGAGGTCCTGTTAGCCGTGTGTTGTGTGAGGGTCGGTTAGCTGTGTGTTGTCAGAGGGTCTGCTAGCTGTGTGTTGTCAGAGGGTCTGTTAGCAATGTGTCTTGTGAGGGCCTGTTAGTCGTGGGTTGTGTGAAAGTGTCAGAGTCTGTTAGCGGTGTGCTGTGTGAGGGTCTGTTAGCTGTGTGTTGTGTGAGGGTCTGTTAGCCGTGTGCTGTGTGAGGGTCTGTTAGCTGTGTGTTGTGTGGGGGTCTGTTAGCTGTGTGTTGTGTGAGGGTCTGTTAGCTGTGTGTTGTGTGAGGGTCTGTCAGCTGTATGTTGTGTGAGGGTCTGTTAGCTGTATGTTGTGTGAGGGTCTGTCAGCTGCGTGGTGTGTGAGGGTCTGTTAGCTGTATGTTGTGTGAGGGTCTGTTAGCAGTGTGTTGTGTGAGGGTCTGTTAGCTGTGTGTTGTGTGAGGGTCTGTTTGCTGTGTGTGTGGGTCTGTCAGCTGTGTGTTCTGTGAGGGTCTGTTAGCTGTGTGTTTTGTGAAGCTCTGTTATCTGTGTTGTGTGAGGTCCTGTTAGCCGTGTGTTGTGTGAGGGTCGGTTAGCTGTGTGTTGTCAGAGGGTCTGCTAGCTGTGTGTTGTGTGAGGGCCTGTTAGCAATGTGTCTTGTGCGGGCCTGTTAGTCGTGGGTTGTGTGAAAGTGTGAGAGTCTGTTAGCGGTGTGTTATGCACTCACCAGCCAGCCGGAGCCCACACTCAGGTAACATGCATGGCCACAGTTGTGCTGAATGTACTTGCATGCCCGCAGGTCATAAAAGAGAACCATGCCATACCCTGTGCCTATGGTCAGAATGTCCTCGTTGAAACTCACAGATCGAATACCTACAACACAACATCAACACTCAACACAAAGCAACAGTGAAACTAAAGCATCTGCGACTCAAACCACATCATCCATACTCCATCTCACCTCTGTATGATCCATACTCCATCTCACCTCTGTATGATCCATACTCCATCTCACCTCTGTATGATCCATACTCCATCTCACCTCTGTATGATCCATACTCCATCTCACCTCTGTATGATCCATACTCCATCTCACCTCTGTATGATCCATACTCCATCTCACCTCTGTATGATCCATACTCCATCTCATCTCTGTATGATCCATACTCCAACTCATCTCTGTATGATCCATACTCCATCTCACCTCTGTATGATCCATACTCCATCTCACCTCTGTATGATCCATACTCCATCTCAACTCTGTATGATCCATACTCCATCTTACCTCTGTATGATCCATACTCCATCTCACCTCTGTATGATCCATACTCCATCTCACCTCTGTATGTTCCATACTCCATCTCATCTCGGTATGATCCATACTCCTCTCATTTCTGCATGATCCATGACAACGTCTCACCTCTGCATGAACTATGACAATGTCTCACCTCTGTATGATCTATGACGTCTAGCCTCTGTAGATCTATGACAACGTCTCACCTATGTACGATATATGACAACGTCTCACCTCTGCACGATCTATGACAATGTTTCACCTCTGCATGAACTATGACAACGTCTCACCTCTGCATGAACTATGACAACGTCTCACCTCTGCATGAACTATGACAACGTTTCACCTCTGCATGAACTATGACAACGTTTCACCTCTGCATGATCTATGACAATGTCTCACCTCTGTACGATATATGACAACATCTTAACTCTGCATGATCTATGACAATGTTTCACCTCTGCATGAACTATGACAACGTTTCACCTCTGCATGATCTATGACAACGTCTCACCTCTGTACAATCTATGACAACGTCTCACCTCTGCATGATCTATGACAATGTTTCACCTCTGCATGAACTATGACAATGTCTCACCTCTGCATGAACTATGATGTCTAGCCTCTGTATGATCTATGACAACGTCTCACCCCTGTACGATCTATGACAATGTCTCATCTCTGCATGAACTATGACAACATCGCACCTCTGTATGATCCATGACAACATTTCACCTCTGCATGAACTATGTCGTCTAGCCTCTGTACGATCTATGACAACGTCTCACCTCTGCATGAACTATGACAACGTCTCACCTCTGCATGAACTATGACAACGTTTCACCTCTGCATGATCTATGACAATGTCTCACCTCTGCATGAACTATGACAACGTCTCACCTCTGCATGAACTATGACAACGTTTCACCTCTGCATGATCTATGACAACGTCTCACCTCTGCATGAACTATGACAATGTCTCACCACTGCATGAACTATGACAACGTTTCACCTCTGCATGATCTATGACAATGTCTCACCTCTGTACAATCTATGACAACGTCTCACCTCTGCATAAACTATGACAACATCGCACCTCTGCATGAACTATGACAACGTCTCACCTCTGTATGATCTATGACAATGTTTCACCTCTGCATGAACTATGATGTCTAGCCTCTGCATGATCTATGACAACGTCTCACCTCTGTATGATCTATGACAATGTTTCACCTCTGCATGAACTATGATGTCTAGCCTCTGCATGATCTATGACAATGTCTCACCTCTGTATGATCCATGACAATGTCTCACCTCTGTATGATCCATGACAATGTCTCACCTCTGCATGAACTATGACAACGTCTCACCTCTGCATGAACTATGACGTCTCACCTCTGCATGAACTATGACAATGTCTCACCTCTGTACAATCTATGACAATGTCTCACCTCTGCATGATCTATGACAATGTCTCACCTCTGCATGAACTATGACAATGTCTCACCTCTGCATGAACTATGACAACGTCTCACCTCTGCATGATCTATGACAATGTTTCACCTCTGCATGAACTATGACAACGTTTCACCTCTGCATGATCTATGACAATGTCTCATCTCTGCATGAACTATGACAACATCGCACCTCTGTATGATCCATGACAACGTTTCACCTCTGCATGAACTATGACGTCTAGCCTCTGTACGATCTATGACAACGTCTCACCTCTGCATGAACTATGACAATGTCTCACCTCTGTACAATCTATGACAATGTCTCACCTCTGCATGATCTATGACAATGTCTCACCTCTGCATGAACTATGACAACGTCTCACCTCTGCATGAACTATGACAACGTCTCACCTCTGCATGATCTATGACAATGTTTCACCTCTGCATGAACTATGACAACGTTTCACCTCTGCATGATCTATGACAACGTCTCACCTCTGTACAATCTATGACAACGTCTCACCTCTGCATGATCTATGACAATGTTTCACCTCTGCATGAACTATGATGTCTAGCCTCTGTATGATCTATGACAACGTCTCACCTCTGTATGAACTATGACAATGTCTCACCTCTGCATGAACTATGATGTCTAGCCTCTGTATGATCTATGACAACGTCTCACCTCTGTATGATCCATGACAATGTTTCACCTCTGCATGAACTATGACAACGTTTCACCTCTGTATGATCTATGACAACATCTCACCTCTGTATGATCCATGACAATGTTTCACCTCTGCATGAACTATGACAATGTCTCACCTCTGTACGATCTATGACAACGTCTCACCTCTGTATGATCCATGACAATGTTTCACCTCTGCATGAACTATGATGTCTAGCCTCTGTATGATCTATGACAACGTCTCACCTCTGTATGATCTATGACAATGTTTCACCTTTGCATGAACTATGACAACGTCTCACCTCTGCATGAACTATGACGTCTCACCTCTGTATGATCTATGACAACGTCTCACCTCTGCATGATCTATGACAATGTTTCACCTCTGTACGATCTATGACAACGTCTCACCTCTGCATAAACTATGACAACATCGCACCTCTGTATGATCCATGACAACATTTCACCTCTGCATGAACTATGACGTCTAGCCTCTGTACGATCTGTGACAACGTCTCACCTCTGCATGAACTATGACAACGTCTCACCTCTGCATGAACTATGACAACGTCTCACCTCTGCCTGGGTGTTTGGAGATGGGTGTGATGTGGCAGTCACTGCGAGGGTCCACAAGCAGCACGGAGGAGTGGCAGCCCACGGCATAAAGCACCTTCTTCTGGTTCACACTCAAACACACACTCTCTGTGATGTCCATCAGGTTCTTGCTCGGCATCTGAAAAATCAGCAGGTCATAACCATCAGGGCGGTCGGGTAGCCTAGTGGTTAAAGCGTTCGCTCGTCACGCCGAAGACCCGGTTCGATTCCCGACATGGGCACAATGTGTGAAGCCCATTTCTGGTGTCCCCCGCCGTGATATTGCTGGAATAGTGCTAAAAGCGGCGTAAAACCATACTCACTCACTCACTCATAACCATCAGTCACAGGAGGTGTGTGTGTACGGTCAAACAAAGAGTAGGATTGTCACATTCAGGCACCTAGGTCTGACACATTCAGACATCTAGGACTGACACATTCAGACATCTGGGATTGACACATTCAGACATCTGGGATTGACACATTCAGACATCTGGGATTGACACATTCAGACATCTGGGATTGACATGTTCAGACATCTGGGATTGACACATTCCCACATCAGGGACTGACACATTCAGACATCAGGGATTGACACATTCAGATATCTGGGACCGACACATTCAGACATCTGGTATTGACATTTTTAGACATCTAGGATTGACACATTCAATCATCTTGGATTGACATGTTCAGACAGCTAGGATTGACACATTCAGACATATGGGATTGACTCATTCAGACAACGGGGATTGACACATTCAGACATCTGGGATTGACACATTCAGATATTTGGGACTGACACATTCAGACATCTGGGATTGACATGTTTCAGACATCTAGGATTGACACATTCAGACACCAGGGACTGACACATTCAGACATCAGGGATGGACACATTCAGATATCTGGGACTGACACATTCAGACATCTGGTATTGACATATTCAGACATCTAGGATTGACACATTCAGACATCTGGAACTGACACATTCAGACAGCTAGGATTGACACATTCAGACATCTGGGATTTACATGTTCAGACATCTGGGATTGACACATTCAGACACCAGGGGCTGACACATTCAGACATCAGGGATGGACACATTCAGATATCTGGGACTGACACATTCAGACATCTGGTATTGACATATTCAGACATCTAGGATTGACAGATTCAGACATCTGGGATTGACACATTCAGACATCAGGGATTGACACATTCAGACATCTGGGATTGACACATTCAGATATCTGGGATTGACACATTCAGATAACTAGGACTGACACATTCAGACATCTGGTATTGACATTTTTAGACATCTAGGATTGACACATTCAGATATCTGGGATTGACACATTCAGATAACTAGGACTGACACATTCAGACATCTGGAATGGACATTTTTAGACATCTAGGATTGACACATTCAGACATCTGGGATTGACACATTCTGACATCTGGGATTGACACATTCAGACATGAGGGATTGACACATTCAGATATCTGGGACTGACACATTCAGACATCTGGTATTGACATTTTTAGACATCTAGGATTGACACATTCAGACATCTGGGATTGACACATTCAGACATCTGGGATTGACACATTCAGACATCTGGGATTGACACATTAAGATATCTGGGACTGACACATTCAGACATCTGGAACTAACACATTCAGAAATCAGGGATTGGCACATTCAGACATCTGGGATTGACACATTCAGACAGCTAGGATTGACACATTCAGACATCTGGGATTGACACATTCAGACATCTTTGGTTGACACATTCAGACAGCGAGGATTGACACAATCAGAAATCAGGGATTGACACATTCAGACATCTGGGATTGACATGTTCAGACATCTGGGATTGACATGTCCAGACATTTGGGATTGACATTTCAGGCATCTTGGATTGACAACACAGTCAGACATCTAGCATAGACAACACATTTTCATCCTAATCTGTAACTTGACACTGAAGTATCCTGATCTGGAGGACACCAGTCTTACCTGTGTGAAAGTCTCGACATCCCACAGGTGAAAGTAGCCATTAAGGGACAAGGCAGCCAGTTCCTGGAACACAATGTGACTCTCATATACAACTGTACCAACACACAACTTCAAACCATAATGCTTAATAATAGGGAATCGGAGTATTCCCCTTATTTATATACTTATCCTGACACAACAGTATGCAATATCACTTTTTGCTTCGATCGTGAAACAATGCGGAACATTTAACTGAACACACTCTCCAACCATATTGCTCCCAGCATGCTCCTGTGCTACCCCATCATCTTTCCCTATGATTCTTGTCGGTCCAGAGCATGGACTGAGACTAGACTACCACTTGTTCTTCAACCCATGGGTGTGTTCAGCTTCACTAGTCCAGTAATATGTCACCAGCTGGGCTGGACCGATACAGGTAGAGGTATTTAAAAGACTGGGAACCATGGCTGCCCTCACGATACGAAGTACACTGGATATAGAGTGAAACTGCAGAAGCTCTGGTATTGGCCTCTTTGATGGCAATCACCTGTTCCCGCCTCGTCAACAGCAGCGTACACATGGGACAAGTTTTTGGGTGAAGACAAAAGGACCATTTTGTCGACATCTTCAACTGAGAGATCCCCGCAGGTACTGTGACATTGCAAAAACATACACAGACGATTGTTGGGGTTGAGTGCCATCATGGACGGCAATGCCCTAATTTCATGCACGTTGGGACATGCAAGTAGGCGTCCTGGAGGTTGAGTGAGGCTTGGAAGTCAGCAGGTTGGTTGGAGAACAGAGCAGTGGCAGAGTGACCATCCGAAGAAGCTGTGATTGAACACCCACAGAGGGATGGCTAGTGGCAGCAAAGTCCACTCACCCACTGGTGGAGCAGCATCACTGATGGCCACACCGGGCACTCTACCCAGTGCCTGAGGAGGAGGGCTGGTTGCAATGTCTCACTGGTCTGGTTTTTGAAGGCTATGCAGAAGTCATCTGATCAGATCAGGTTTCAAATACGAGTGAGCCTGCTGGAGGTGCTTAGCTATCAGCTGTTAATGAGTCCTTCTAGTACAGTGAGTGCCCAGTTGAGTTGCACCTATCTGCACACATCGCTTCGACTTGGGTGGTGGAGAGAGACTCCTCATGTAGCTCCTGGACCTGATTGTTGAACAACTTTTCGCCAACCAGGCTGACAGAGAAACTCCAATAGAAGAAACTCTATTCTGCTTCCATAAAAGTGGGCTTATCATCTAAGGAGGAGGAGGAAGCCTGTCGCGTGCATCAAGAGGTGAGGTGAAATGGGGTTTTACGTCGCGTCCAAGATTATTGCAACTATATAGTTATGTGCATGCATGTGTATTGTGTGTGTGTGTGGCTGCTTGTACTAGTCTGGACAGAGGCTGATTTATAGTGCTTGCACACTGAGATACCATGCTGCAGTTTAACATAAATACGCTACTCAGACACAGTATACTGACATCAAGCCAACCTTCTTTTATCCCCTTAATCCTGAGTGCCAGACAGGGTAACAACAAGTACCATCTTCTAATGTCTTTCAGTATAACACGAATGGGGATCGAACCCCAGACCACTCTCCAGGTGGACGCGCTACCACTAGACCACAGAAGGGGTCGAGTGCATCAAGAGTTCTGCCATGTCTCCTAATGATGTTGTCTGCTTCCAGTGGGCCTACCCCTGTCACCAATGCCTGAGTGAAGGTCGTGATGAGACACAAAGCAATAACAACCAGACACAAGTCCGATTCTTCAGCCATCAATGGCATCCCATCAACCAAAGTATGTGCGGGAACTGTGTATGTAGGTGTCGTAACAAGGTAAAAAAGTACACCTCAACAATGGTGTAGGAACAGACTCTTCAAGCTTAACAACGTCCATAATCCATAGAACGGGATCTTTGAATGCAAAGATTTGTTTGTTTGTTTGTTTAATGCCCCACTCTGCAATATTCCAGCTATATGACGGTGGTCTGTAAATAATCTGGACCAGACAATCCAGTGATTGACATCATCAGCATCGATCCACCAACCTGGGATAGGATGACATGCATCAGTAAGCATCCGAGGCAGACATCAAGAGCCGAGGCGATGTCGCTACTGACGAGGTGCAGGTGGAGATACCTATGTAATCATAGTGTAGATGCCTGAAAATACTGAGAGCCAGGGCAATGACAGAGGAGAAGCCTGAGGTGCTCCACTAACAGGGTGGGAGTAGTAGGCGAGGTAATCCCCAGGAGTGGCAACCCCGAGGGCTGACCCACAAGATGAGGCGCCCGTAGAGCAGCAACCGTGGCAGGCTTGTGTGGGGGACACGAAGCCTGGCACTGGATTCTCTGTAGTGCTCTTTTGCGCAGTCCAATGAGATACAGATCAGCAGACAGATGGATACACACAGCGCATTGTGTTCCATGGAGCATCATGAGCCTATCGCTGGATTCTCTGTAGTGCCCTTTTGCGCAGTCCAATGAGATACAGATCAGCAGACAGATGGATACACTCAGCGCATTGTGGGCCATGGAGCATCATGAGCCTGGCGCTTGATTCTGGCAATCAGAGCAAAGACCTTTGAGATCCTGAGACGACTTCAGGCCCTTGTATTCCACGCACTTGTGACGAAAACGTGGGAGGTCATCATCAATGCACACGTTTGTTAACAACAAAGTTGTCCATTGTGTCTCAAGTCAACAATATCATGAGAAATAAGGCTGTAGAACCACAAATATCACTGCAAACACAGCCCACCCTCGTCATAGCAGGGAGATGTCACCACAGGAGCATTACAGCCAACAAGGAGCAACATTCACATCCATAAATTGCAAAATAGAGGAAAATACCCTGTGCCGACATGAAATCTACACCAACATCAGAGATGGACAATAACAACGACACGAATGACCACTGCAAGCGTGGCATGGAACACGACACGTATCACAGAACATGAAATGAACCCACAATGAGAATTGTTGCCAACTGTTGTTATTTTCAACAGTGACAAACCACACATAATGGTTTTACAGAAAGATGAATGACTAAGTAAGAAACCCAAATGACAAACAAGTCTATGACAATCAAGTCTATTCCAAATCGTAATTCCAGAGCGAAGCTGACACAAATCCTGTCACTTTGGGCGATGAATGAAGAGATGAAGGTAACACAGGAGCATGCTGGGAGCAGTGTGGTCAGAGGGTGTGTTCGGGTGTATGTTTTTCATTTTTCTACAGTTTTACAATCGAACCAAGAAGGAAAACTGCCTACTGTTGTGGAGGAGGGGGAAGTTACAAAGCATATTGATGTCCATCAAGGCATATCTTGTGTTGCAATTCAGTGAATTTGTTCGTACATCTAACATATAAAATACATATAGAAGTCGTCAAATCATACAAATACATGACACGAGGTAGTTGCTCATCTCTTCTTGCAAGTTTTAGCCCCATCAGAAGCTAGAATCATCAGTACCTTGCTAATTTTGCCAAAATTCCTCTCTGCGCATAAATTCTTGTGCCAAGTGTTTATAATGAGTCATGATGCTTCGATTAAAAAGTACTCAACAACCCTACAACTAATGACCAATCCACATGTGTCCTGAGGCAGTACTGTAGCAATGAACAGAAGACAAGTTAGGATTCTTCAATACCAAGTCTACTGTGACTAAGACTGCCAGGACAGGTTCCCACACAGCTTGGCACACATGGCAGTGTATCTAAAGCTAAGCCGTCAGTCTGCTCACCTTTCGTTCCTGGTGAAATGCAAGAGCTCGGACTTTCTCCGCCTTCTGACAGTACTGCACTGTGACAGGGTGCTTGACGGTGTACTCCGGTATGTACAGGGTGTTGACATGAGAAGACCGGTCATCATCACAGTTGTCGATCTTCCACAGGGCGAGATTGTTGTCCCGAGAACCTGATATACATCAAGGTATTGTCAGCACTTTTACTGTTTTCAACATTCCAAGCTTCATTTTCTACAAGGTAGAGTACATCACTCCATATATGGAGGTACACGCTCCATAAAAGCAATATCAGACAACAGCAACACTTTGATTCACAACAAAAGATTAGAGGCCATACCCAACACCACAATTCACAAAAAAAGATATGAAATTTACATGATATATATGATAGTTAAAAAGAAAACATATCTGATCAAATTCCTAGATCAAAATATATTTCTGTTTTCATTTTGTCTGATATGCAACAATGTAAGGGAGATAACTCCATATATAGTTACATGTAACTCATGTTCTAAGCACTTGTGTTTTTATTTCTGGACATAGCTTTCATCACTGACAAACACTGTCTGCAGCCCATCACGTCAGTCAGTAATGTTGGTAATGCTAGTGTGAAGCCTGTGTCTAGAATATCTTTCTTTCTGGTGAGTCTAAAAAATCCCTGTTGCACAAGGGATATATTGAGATGGTGCACAGGGGATATATTGAGATGGTGCACAGGGGATATATTGAGATGGTGCACTGGGGATATATTGAGATGGTGCACAGGGGATATATTGAGATGTTACACAGGGGATATATTGAGATGTTACACAGGGGATATATTGAAATGGTGCACAGGGGATATATTGAGATGTTACACAGGGGATATATTGAGATGTTACACAGGGGATATATTGAGATGGTGCACAGGGGATATATTGAAATGGTGCACAGGGGATATATTGAGATGGTGCACAGGGGATATATTGAGATGGTGCACAGGGGATATATTGAGATGGTGCATAGGGGATATATTGAAATGGTGCACAGGGGATATATTGAGATGTTACACAGGGGATATATTGAGATGTTACACAGGGGATATATTGAAATGGTGCACAGGGGATATATTGAGATGTTACACAGGGGATATATTGAGATGTTACACAGGGGATATATTGAGATGGTGCACAGGGGATATATTGAAATGGTGCACAGGGGATATATTGAGATGGTGCACAGGGGATATATTGAGATGGTGCACAGGGGATATATTGAGATGGTGCATAGGGGATATATTGAAATGGTGCACAGGGGATATATTGAGATGTTACACAGGGGATATATTGAGATGTTACACGGGATATATTGAGATGGTGCACAGGGGATATATTGAGATGGTGCACAGGGGATATATTGAGATGGTGCACAGGGGATATATTGAGATGGTGCACTGGGGATATATTGAGATGGTGCACAGAGGATATATTGAGATGGTGCACAGGGGATATATTGAAATGGTGCACAGGTGATATGTTGAGATGTTGCACAGGGGATATGTTGCACAGGGGATATATTGAGATGGTGCACATGGGATATATTGAGATGGTGCACAGGGGATATATTGAGATGGTGCACAGGGGATATATTGAGATGTTGCACAGGGGATATATTGAGATGGTGCACAGGGGATATATTGAGATGTTACACAGGTGATATGTTGAGGTGTTGCACAGGGGATATGTCGATATGTTGCACAGGGGATATATTGAGATGGTGCACAGGGGATATGTGGGTTTGTTGCACAGGGGATATATTGAGATGGTGCACAGGGGATATGTCGGTATGTTGCACAGGGGATATATTGAGATGGTGCACAGGGGATATATTGAGATGGTGCACAGGGGATATATTGAGATGGTGCACAGGGGATATATTGAGATGGTGCACAGGGGATATATTGAGATGTTACACAGGTGATATGTTGAGGTGTTGCACAGGGGATATGTCGATATGTTGCACAGGGGATATATTGAGATGGTGCACAGGGGATATGTGGGTTTGTTGCACGGGATATATTGAGATGGTGCACAGGGGATATGTTGGTATGTTGCACAGGGGATATATTGAGATGGTGCAAAGGGGATATATTGAGATATTGCACAGGGGATATGTTGAGATGGTGCATAGGGGATATAGAGCTGTTGCACAGGGGATATGTTGGGTCATGTTGCACAGGGGATTTATTAGGATGTTGCACAGGGGGTATATTGGGCCAAGTTGCAAAGAGGATATATCGGGCTGTTGCAAAGTCGATATTTTGGGATGTTACACAGGGGATATATTGGGTCATGTTCCACAGGGGATATGCCGGGATGTTGCACATGGGATATATTGAGATGTTCCACAGAGGTTATACTGGGATGTTGCACATGGGATATATTGGGCCATGTTGGACAGGGGATATTTTGGGCCATGTTGCACAGAGGATATGTTGGAATGTTGCACAAGTTGATGTTCATGTGACATAATTTAACAGATGATAGACTCAAATAATAGTTGATTTTTTAAATTTTTATTCCTGAAGCCACTACTTTGTTTATGTCTTTGAACATACCTGACAACACAAATTCATCATCAATCCACACCAGATCAAACACCCAGTCTTTGTGTCCCAGCTGAAACAAGAGGAGTCCATCAGTACATGTTCACCTCATGTGTAACCATGGTAACTGGGCAGGAAGGAACTGACATAAAATCTACATCTACTCATATACTGTTACCAAATTCCAATACATGCATAGTGCGCTATTATGAGCTTTCTGGATAATCTTATAATTTTTCAAATTCTGTCAGTGAAAATGTACTAAATCACGATCCATAGACAATGAAATAATTCCATATATTATCATGAGCAATGTCAAATTTCCGATCCATACCATCATAATCAGTTCTGATCTTAATATCAAATTTAAGTTTTATGTTAAAGCTTATCTTATTCCTACATTGTAGATATGATTTTGACAATTGCTGACATACATGTGGACAAAAAGTACCGGAATATCACAGAAAATATATTCTGCATCAAATGTCATGTGCTATAACTTGCTGTACCTGTGGCTGATACCCAAAGCAAGTCACCGTGTACTGGGCATGAAACGGATCATAGGATATTTTCATTTTATAAAGCAAACCTTTCCCAAACTAGAACTCTTTTTAAGACATTGACAGAGTAACACGAAATTCAGAAATTTCACCTGACAAGACCCTAATCTTTAATTTTAATATTTCTAACAATTCTCAAACCATTCATTTATTTACAATAGTTGTGAAAAAATTGAAACAGTTTCCTGGAAAGACGCCTTGGAGAACATTGACCATCCTCTTACCTCCCCTACGCAGACCGGGTCAAATGTTGGCAGCTTGTAGACGGCGATGTCATTGGTGTGGTTAGCACCTGTTGCCAGCAGTGTGTTGGATGGGTTGATGGCAATACTATGAATACCACATGGGCATTTGGCTGGAATACTCTCCTCGCTGCTTTTCAGCTTGGGAATGTTTGTCATGCGACCTGACGTTGTGTCAAGCACTATTAACTGTAACACAGAAATGGAGAGGGAGGACAGTGATATTATGATTCAATATTTCTTATGATGATTATCATTATCACACTTTTGAACATCAAGTGTACACTTTATTATTAGTATTATCTCATTCATGACATTTTACACGTGAAAAATGCAATTTTAGTAAATATTTGACAGTTGACACTGATGATGTTCATTGATGCCCAACATGCGTAGAAACTAACATATTTAGTCTACTAAAATAATACCCCTTATAGTGATAACATATAACAAAACCCTTAAAAATGGCAATTTGTTACTAGTGCTTTAGATTACCTTAACTATTGCATGTATTGGGCTGTTCAGCAAAAATATTTCTTATGACTCTTATCAAGTACATGGCAATTACAAACCAACATACTGAGGAACCTAGATGGGCCATTTTCATCTACCCGAGGTCAGAGAGTTAACTGACTATAAAAGTCCAGTTTCTACCCTTGCCGAACTAGGCTGGGATTATGGCGTTACATTTTGGCAGGACTAACGAGTCTATGCAAAGTCCAATCAAAATCGAGCACCGAAATCGAAATCTGGTTCGTAAACTGTCATGCAGATTTCGGTTGATTGCAGGATTTGCAAAGCATGTGCACCGCCAACTCGTTATCAACAGATATTTTCCAAATATTTTCATGTTTTTAATCAAGGTGCTCACATGATTTGATGTACTTCGCGAAGTAAGAACCATTTTATCACAATAAGATGTTGATGGTCGATCATGTCGTCTTGACTGGGAGCCAATATTTTGTTTGAAGCAAATGCATGTGATACGAGAGGTGGAATATGGTTGGTCCATATGAGAGGCTTATAAGGGACATAACTTGTAATAGCCACTGGTGGCGCTACGATCGAGCCAAGAAATTCCAGCCTAGTTCGGCAAGGGTAGAAACTGGACTTGTAGTTGTAAAGCCAGTTAACGCTCTTGCCTCGGGAAGATGGGCCATTTTGTAACTCCGAGATATTGGGACATTTGAATAGCAATCACTATTTAGTCTATCCACTGGACAAAGCAACAAAGTGACACTCATGCCTCAAGTTTGTTAATTCACAGCTTGGATATTTTGAGTGTCACATGACTTTGCTTCCTCTCATCTGACTATGATTAGCAATTTTTTATGTAACCAGCCGCCATGTTTCTACTAGGGCTGGGACGGGTAACTCGGCTACTCGGGTCGGGTGGACCCTGAGTAGGACTATCCGGACCCGTTATATATACAGTTTAATGACATTAACTATAAAACTCAATGGTTACACTACAAGTATAGCTAATGTTCACATTTCTTTCTCACGATGCAGGCATTCATTCACTTTTATATGTTCGAGTAAGGATAAAGCATCACACAACTGCAGAAAAAACATGATCAGATCATTTTATATGTATATCTAAATAGTTTTTGCTAGGGATGCGGTAAAACAATTCCCAATCGGACATTTTGTACCCAACTCTTGAGACCTACAGCGGGTATCTGAGTAGGGCCGGGTAATAGGCGTCAGGTACCCGGGTAGTAAATTTGGACTCGTCCCAGCCCTGGTTTCTAGTCATGTCTATTTACGATATTTTATTTGTCAGTAAAAATTACCATTACAGTTGGAATAAAAGATAAGGACATAATTGTTTGAACAATTGGTTTACATTGCTCTGTACCTTTACAGCGATGTTAGATGTGTGAAGAAAGGTACTAGATATATCTGCACTTCTCAATACTGTCATTGTGGCAATGCCAACTTCAAGATAAAGATACAAAATTCTATAGTAAAGTCAAAGTTGGGTCCCAGTCAAAGGTTAGAGTTAGTGCCTTGTAATATTATCTCGACTTTGAAACAAGCAAGTAAATTTAAATGTATTTATATAGTGAGGCATTCAGGACCTGAGAATAGGTCCCAGATATTGGTACATTTGAGAAAACTGTATATCAAGGATTGTTTATCAACCCTCCCTAACACCATGAATGTAACATTAACATCATCAACACATCATCTTCTGATCATGCTGATGCCTTCTTATCATTACAAACGAACCTGATTGCACTTTGTGCCAAAAACAACCTGTTTGTCACTCAACCACTTGGCAGCAAATATCTTGTTAATTGAACCTAGTTTGAATTCTCTCTCTTGAAGTAAGCAAGGTATTTGTTCAGCCAAGTAGTCCGAAAAGATGCTTTGTGGCAGACGCTTCCCCAGTCCATACTGCCGCTGCTGGGTGTAGAAGAAGGCTTCTTTTGGGAGGCTACGTAGGTTGCACAACTCCTCCTCTGCAGATATTGAGAAATGTTTTCTCTTGTGAGATTCTGTACCAGTAAAAAGAAAGAAAGACAAAAAGTACTCCTGCTGGAATAATCAAGAAGAGAGTGAACTTCTCCAAGACACTTCTGATACTCAATTATGACAATTGACAGATGAACACAGTCTACTTTGGACAGATTACAAATTTTAATCACATCAAATATGTGGGCAATCAATACTATACGTTCTAATGATTAATTGTTACTGTACCTTATGGCAACGGTATAAGGTTCTATACCGAAATGTCACCTTCACAGTAAATTAAGAAGTTGCTATCCATAAATTGTGTCTACTTTGTTACACCCAAACATTTGCGAAACAAACACCTTTTCACTATCTCCAGGATTAGGCAACCCTTTAAAATCCTTAAGTGCTGATGACTTGGCAAACAAGCACTATCTATTTGCGATAGCGCCTGTGGTCATGTGGCAAGGTGTTGGCTAATTCGATTGACTCATTAGCTTAGCTTCAAGCTGGCAACATGAGTTCAATCCTCCACAAGGCCCTATTGGAGCGGAAGGGGTCGTTATCTGCACATGTACTACAAATATTGTGCAATGCACTTATCATGTGACTTGAATGCTAACGCATACCAAACGTCCTGGATAACAGACTGCGGTAAAATTCAAAAGGGCAGTAAGCATTGTATATTTTTCGCTCAATACATCGTCACCATAAATGGATCGGAACCGTTATGCTGTTGTTTCAGGTGTATTCGAATGTGCTATATAAAACACAAGTACCCACAGTAACGTACATACATTTCTCTATTATTCCATGGCGCACAGCATTATCCAGCATGCACTCATCATCAGGCGAACCAGAACTATAACATGAACCAGCTTCGGTTTTGGGTGAGGAAGATGAACACATTCGCAGTTTGTGAACAGGGCACCTTTCTGTATTCTCATTTTGGCAAGGGTACATTTCCGTATATAGAAATGTAGGTACCTGGGGTACATATCTGTAGTACATGGGGTACATATCTGCAGTACCTGTGCAGACAACGACCCTTTCTGCGCTAATTGAAACCTGGTAAAGTCCACAACTCCCTGGATCTTTCCTACAATAACACAGTGTATTTATTCTTTGGGGTCCAAACTAACTACAGAAACATGAAGAATTATCTTTCAGCTGTCTAAAATTGGTCACTTGAATCGCTGAATACGAACAGTAACAACAACCACACACTGGCCGGTCTCTCATGCAGTTTGTTTATTTCAGTACTATCACATTTGCCATAGCATTTCAACTCTCTCTTTTCAGTTTTGCATTTAGTTTTGGAAAAAAAACATTCTCATCGAAAATTTACTGACTGTCAAAAACGAAGGGTAAAATATGCGAGGAATGCTGTAGGTGAATGACGCGCTGTATAACAAGCAATGGAATTACATTTATCACTGTATACTTACTTCTGAACATTGCTGTGGTTGGGATATGTCACTAATGGCCTAAAATCCAATTTGCATATCATTGTTTGTTTAAATTTGACATACGGTAAATATCACATAGTGTAACGTTTTCTATTGATAACTCGCTTACAAACATATCACAGCGCCCTCTATATCCGGGGAGATAACCACCATGTTTTATGCTTGAAAAACCCGCTAAATATTGGTTTACGGTGCTTTTCGTCTTGAATTCAAGATTTATTAAAGCACAATAAAGATGAAAGCAATAAAAAAAAGTTTCATTACAACTTACACTAGACCCAAAGGAGGTGAGCGGAGACAAAAATGTACATTAAAATGGGTTGTCCATTCCCAGGTATAGTGATGGAGAATAAGAAAAGATGTAGGGCACTCAATAAATTCAGGAGATGTAAAGATAAGGACTCACTTAGAGAATATCATAACATAAGAAACAAATATATAGCTGTGTGCAAAGAAAAGAAACAAGAATATTTACATGAGAAGCAACAATCCTTAGAAAATAACATTCATGACTCTAAACTATTTTGGTCACAACTGAAAAGTCTAAGCAAACATCAAAAGGCAAATAATATCAACATTAAGGATTGGTACATCTACTTTAAAGAATTATTTACTTTCACAGATACTGATCAGAGCCCTGAAAATCAGTTCCAGGAGTCACAAGATAATACTCAGACTCAAACAGATACTCAGTTTGCAAATGATATACTGGATTCCCCTATTACCAGAGATGAGATTTTAGAGAGTACACACCATCTTAAATGCAAAAAATCACCAGGAATTGATCAGATTTATTAGAAAATGGAACATTTCCAGATGCATGGTCAATAGGGGTACTTGTGCCAATACATAAACAAGGTGATCTAAATAATATAAACAATTACAGAGGTATTTCACTGCTATGTATATTTGGTAAACTATTCACAAACATAATAAATAAAAGGTTAGTGTTTTGGGCAGATACCCTCAACAAAATCAATGAAGAACAAGCTGGATTTAGAGAGGGCTATTCAACTATTGACAACATTTTTATCCTTCAAGTTTTAGGTAACAAATATCTCAGTGTCAAGGGTGGGAAACTTTATGTGCTCTTCGTTGACTTTGCCAAGGCATTTGACTAAGTGCAGAGACATAAACTATGGAACCTTTTAAGATCACATGGCCTCAGCTTTAAGATGAACAAACTATTAAATTAGGTAACATTTACGAGAATATTAAGGTGTGTGTGCGAAACAATAATGAGATTTCAGAAACATTTATTAGTCAGTTAGGAGTAAGACAAGGATGCATCTTAAGCCCATTTCTCTTTACTTTTTTCATAAATGAACTGGCTGTACAAATAAATAACAACTGTAATTATGGTGTTCAGCTCCATCCAGATATTACACAGATATTTTTACTTTTATTTGCAGATGATATTGCTCTCTTTTCATCAACAATCAAAGGACTGCAGTGTCAAATTAATGAACTTGAAAGTTACTGCAATAAATGGAAGCTAACAGTAAACATGATTAAAACCAAGTTTTGGTATTTAAGAATGGAGGTCATTCAGCAAGTAAAGAATATTGGTCCTTTAAAGGACAAAAATAGAAACTACAGGTTTTTATAAATATCTTGGTGTTTACTTCAGTAGAAACTTGTCATGGCATAAACATTTGTATCAAGCTGCTTTAAAAGCAAGAAAGGTCTTTGTAAGTATCCATAAGAGTTTGAAAGTTTAAGAAACCATTTCTCATCAATCTTTTTTTTAAATATTTGATATAAAGATACTCCCCATTTTGTTGTATGGGGCAGAAGTCTTGGGTTTACAGCACTTTGATGCCATAGAACAGATTCATTTATATGTTTGCAAAATTGCAAAAAGTATTTAGGTGTAAAAATAAACACTTCCAGCTTGGTGGTGTATGGAGAATGTGGAAGATTCCCTCTCTATGTATAGAAAAAATATAAAAGTTATTAAATACTGGCTGAGACTTATTGACATGCCCTCATATAGATTGCCAAAAAAGTGTTATAATATGATGGTAGTTTATGATGATAATGGGAAAAGAAACTGGGTTACAGGTGTTAGAGAATTACTTTTCAGTTGTGGCTTTGGTGATATTTGGCAAAACCAAAATGTGTATTCCAAATCAATGTTTATATTTTCATTAACCCAGAGATTAAAGGATATTTATTTACAATCTTGGGCTGCATCAATGACTCTAACAAACAAGTGCTTTTATTACAAAATGTTTAAATCAGAAATAATTATCGAAGATTATTAATCAAAAGTTAATGTTAAAAAATTTCGAACAGCTCTTTCACGTTTTAGATGTTCTTCTCACGACCTTTTAATAGAAACAGGGCCTATGTAAACATTCCTCGTGAAGAAAGAATCTGTTATCTATGTAGTTTAAACTCAGTAGAAGATGAATTTCATTTCTTACTTGTATGTCCAGTGTATTTACACCTTAAAGAAAAATACCTGCAAGCTTATTATTACAGGTACCCTAATATTATCAAATTTGTTACACTGCTGTCAAACACAAAAAGAAGTATCTTACAAAATGTTTCCATGTACATATATTATGCCTCTTTATACCGACAGAGACTTATGAAAGAATACTCTTAGCTGCTTGATATTAGGAAACTATTGTGTATATACATTAAGTACATATTTATAGATATTTGCCATCTGAATAAACTACAAACAAAAGCGTTAGAAATGGTATTAAACTCTTAGGCTGTCATATGCTATTGTGGGACGTGATATTACAAATGGTTTAGTATAGTTATATGTATATGAAATGATATGATGTGACATGACATGATGTGATATGATATGATAAGTGTTGTGGTGTGATATGTTACATGAGGGGATATGATGCAATATGTTATGTGTACTATAGAAATTGTGTAAATACTGGTTTTTTTAGTGTACATATTATATGGCTTGCGGTCTTCCAGTGTTGAATAAATATTGATTGATTGATATGATATAAATTGGCATGGAATGACATGGCATTATATGGTATGATATGATAAGATATGATGGGACAAGCTATGACATTGCTAATGTGTTGTGTGATATGACATGTTGAAATAATATAGGGTGTGATATATGGTATGATGGTATGTATGGTATGTTATGATATGATAATGGTATATGAAATAATACTATATGATATGATCTTAAAATAATGATACAATATGATATGATGTTATAGAATATGTTGTATGATATAACAAGTTGTGATATGGTAAAATAGAAATTATGAAATTACAGGGTATGGTATTGTACTGTATGTGTGAAATTATGTGACTGTGTTGAGATGCCATGTGGAATGACGTGAGGTGATTTGGTGAGATATGTACATAAATTGTATAAAATTGTATATTCTTCAAATTGTACTATAGGCCTGTGGCCTCTTCAGTGCGTGAAATAATGATTTTGATTGAGAATGATTTGACGCCACTTTTGACGATAAGACAACACTATCACAGCGGTTGACACTAAAAATATATATTGTTTTCCATATTGGGAATCGAACCTTGACCTGACGAGCGAAACAGCTTTAACCAAGTGCTATCGGCTACTCCCACCGATCCGATTTAACGGAAAACGGACATCTTAAAGGTCATCAATGGTCTAACGTTCCAGCATCTGTTGTTAGCTGGTGTTATCAGCTTTATAACGAAGCAGGAGATGCCTTGTTTATATGTATCAATTATCCAGGCCAACTCCAGGAAAGGTACTCCTCAATAGTGTCAACTGCTGGTCCCGTTCTGGGTTTTTGCTACCACCAAGAACAAGTTTGATGACCATGTGAATGAATTACAACTTAAAAATCAAACATTCTTAATGGCATATTTGATACCCAATATAAAATATATATAACACTGTCACTTATATACCCTAATATATACTTCTCTAATCGCGTACACGTATGTAGATTATGCCTGCATCTCTATAGGCTATTGTGTTCCAGATAATGACTGTTTAGGGGGGAAAAGGACGCAAGAAGTCTGAAGCTGTTGGTTATCTTAATCTCTATCCACCCCCGGGGGGCACGGGGGGGCCCAGTCGTCTAAGGCGCCGCAATTCCCTGTGCAGAGTTGCGTCCCGTGGGCACGCCAGAAACCTATGATTGTGGGTTCGAATCCCAGTTCGCCCCGATTATGTTTCTAGGTTTGTCAGCACCATACCCGTGCTCGTGGGTTTCACCGAAGTGGTAAACGTCTGAGACCTGCATCACTTCGGGCTTTCCTCCCACATTAAGCTGACACGCCGCGATATAACTGGAATACTGTTAAAAGCGGCGTAAAACCCAACTCACTCACTCACTATCCACCCCCGACTCCCATACCAAACACCAGTGCTAAGGGATCCAGCATCTCAAGAGATGGTGTGATGACAAGCTGAAATGATGTTACTGATGGCAGTCACCGTTTCACTCGTGGTCGGCTAAGTACTTTGCTATACTCCCCGTGATGGCTGGACTCACATATCACATATATACTCTTCAAAAAAAGAAACGCAAAGCTAGATTTGTGTTAGGTAGGAAAATACATTTATACGTGGAGTCATACAAGGTATTGAGCCAAAATGTGGAGAGAACGCTTGTAGTCATCTCAGTTATAGGTACGTAGGAAATGTCTAAGGTGAAGGTCAGCTACCATCAATAACATGTACCCCGTTGGAATCGATAGCGGCCCGACATCTACTGCCCATTGAAGAGACGAGTATGCGAATCACATCCTGGGGAATGGTAGTTCACTCGGCCTGCAACGCAAAAGCCAACTGTTGCAACGTCTGGGGTTGTGGTTGACGTCGGCGTAGCCGTCCATCCAATTCATCCTTATCATTCAGCTCTATCGGGTTCAAATCCGGGGATCTGGAGGGCCGGGGGAGAACTTCAACGTTGTTGTTGTGTAGACATGCTCATCCGTGATGTGTCGGCCGAGCGTTGCCCTGCTGGAATACAACGTTGCCGTTGGCTGCCATTGTGAGGACGTGTGATAGGAGAATTTCGTTGATGTATGGTTGATCCGTAAGATTGCTCTGGATATGGACCAAAGTTAACCTGTCCTGCCATGATTAGCCGCCTACATCATAATGCTGCCCCCACCAAACCTGTCCACTTCCTGTACGCAATCCCCGGCGAAACGTCCTCCCCGACGTCTGTAGACCCGTGCTCTTCCATCCCTTCGACGGAGGTGAAATCTTGATTCGTCGCTCAACCATACATATCTCCATCGCAGTTGGGGCCATACCCTGTGTTGACGACACCAATGCAGTTGTTGTTGACGATGTTGTCGACTCAATATGACGCGTCGGACGGGACGTCTTACTCTTAGACCTGCTGCTCTTAAACGGTTTCTGTGCGGTCTGGTCGGAGAATCTGCGCAGTCCGGGTATTTGGGATGCGGTTGAGGTGGCTGTGGTCGTCCTTTTACGTAGGTTGCGTAGTCGGATGGTTACTCTTGGTCGCCCCAACCTTGACCAATCACGTGTTGACCCATGCTGTTGAAACCGATCCCATAGCCTTGTGGTGGTACTGGATGCACTTTTATACCGTTCATAGCGCTCCATTGCCCTTTTGTTAATGCACTGGGTGAGTTTTTCCGAATCGTACGTATTTCCCGACTAATGGTTTGCATGTCCTTCTGATCATTTTGATCAGGGAAATTTGTCACCGACACTTTAACACATTAACCCTCTTCATTTTGCATCTCTTGGTCCGCTAATTTTGCTTTTATGGCCAAAATATCCGCATTGCGTTTCTTTTTTGAAGAGTATATTTGTATTCTTAAATGTTCAACTTTATAAGTGTTTATTACCACGTTGACCTGGTCATGTCCCCGCGACATCTTGAACCCGCTAGACCTGGAAAAGGTCTGATACTTTGGACACTAATACGTATTTGGACTCAAATCTGAGTTTTGTAAAAGGATTAAACAGATTTGTGATAGATGAATCTGCACTGTTACACCTTACATTAGGAAGGACCCATTTTGTAACATGTGTCATAAAATATGTTGGCATCCAAACACATGACTGTGAGTGTAGGATTGTGATCACCCGTGAATTCAAGACAGTTTAGCGTATACACTAAATCAATCAAATATAAACTAAGCGGCAAAAGAAAGTATAGGTTGGCAATTTGTAATTTTCCTAAAAACAGCGATAACTAGTGGAAAGTGGGTATTGGGAATATGACTGCCCAGGAACAGGTACCAAAAAACACCTCACCCGAACGCGCTACCTTTGACGGCGCTCGTGCGGTGACAAAAAAAATGGTGAAACAGGTTTCCCGCCTATGGCATAAACTGCACGTGCATGTTAGCTGTATAAATGCGTTCGTCTGCAGGGTATAACCACACGTGATGGAAGCACACAAAAGAAATGCCACGACTGTCACAGGAGCAGAGAGATAGAGCCATCGGTATGGTCGAAATAGGGGCAACACAGGTCCAAATTACCAGAAGGTTTGGTTGTACACCACTGACAGTAGCCAGGCTGATTCAACGGTACAGGCAGACAGGGAGGACACAGGACAGGCCTAGAACCGGACGACCCCGAGTTACAACACCACTGGAAGACGGTCAGATACGGCTCATTCACCTGCGAAACACCTTCGTAACGGCGACGGCGACGGCAGCAACAGCGTTGGGACATCCCATTAGCCAACGTACAGTACTACGACGACTTCGTGCTACTGGAATCCGAGCGTATCGTCCTTTCCGAGGAATGGTACTGACTGCTCAACATCGACGCCTGAGACTGCGATGGGCGAGGCAGGTTCGACGCTGGCAAGTGAGAAATTGGCGTCGAGTGCTGTTTACTGATGAAAGTCGGTTTAACTTGTTTCGAAATGACGACAGAGAACGAGTTTATCGACGCAGAGGGGAACGTTTGGCTCCGGCGTGTATTCGAGAGGTCCATCCATTCGGCGGGGGAGGTGTCATGGTGTGGGGCGGTATTTGTAGAGATCAGAAGACTGATTTGGTGATTATACAGGGAAACCTGAACTCTGTGCAGTATAGAGACCAAGTGTTGCAGCCAGTTGTGCTTCCGTTCTTGCAAAACCAACAGCAGTGGACATTGTTTCAACACGACAATGCCAGGCCCCATACTGCAAGACTGACTCGGAACTTTCTAAACAAGCAGAACGTTGACGTTTTGCCCTGGCCTGCCCACTCACCCGATATGAATCCTGTTTGAACATCTGTGGGACCATCTTGACAGACAGATTAGAGTACGCCATCAGCCTCCCGTCAACAGACAAGAATTGCAGCAGGCCCTGAGAGACGAGTGGCAACGGATTCCAGTCCACGTCATCAGAAGACTGACGTCATCGACGAGGCGGCGTATCACAGCATGCATTGAGGCAACTGGAGGTCATACACGCTATTGAAGGCAACTGTGTCGACAATGAACTTGGATCAGACAAGTTTTTGGTGACATTTCAGACAACTTTTGAAAATGAAATTTCTCACCCCACCATTGTTTACCTTGAGCTTACATTACCTGTGATTGCACAATTTCTGTGGTTGATCAATCATTTGTTACCCCTCCCTAGATTATATTATAATTCACAGCAAAACCTCTTCTTTTTATTTTGTTATCGATCATGGAACTCGACCTATACTTTCTTTTGCCGCCCAGTATAGATGTGCAGTTTCGATGTTAACATCTTTATCAACGATCTGTCGTCTTTCCCAGTGTGTGCCTGCATAGTTATAAAATACTATAACGGATGACAGATGGACGTGCAGATTGATTCTCATTTGTAACACGTTGACAACACTGGCGAAATTGCCGCATTGGTTACACTTAAAAGGATTGAAAGAAGGGAGGTCTGGTCATAAAGTATAGCTCGTCTCTATCTGCGGCAGACAACGTGAGCGTTGTGGCACAGCGGGCACGGCGCTTCTACTTCAAACAGGCTGAACAACAGCGACGACCATGAAGCTCTTGGTGTTATTGGTATTGTTGCAGTCGACGCTCGTCGTTACAGGCATGTTTGTACAATTGTATATGATATAACACTTCCAAACGGTTACATATTTTCATAGTTTTCCAAAACGAAAGTTATTTCTATTCAGTATGCTGAAATAATTCATTAAAACAAATGAGTTCTTTTACTGCGGTTCGCTATCTTTCGACGGGAACATAATAGTATGATATCAAAGTAAACGATTAGATTTGTATTAAGATTGAAACAGTACATCCACCGGCCAATATAGTTCCATTTGAGTTACCTCTGTCGACTCGAACCAGCAAACACATTTTATCTTGGTACATACTCTGTAAGAATAAGTAGTAAGCTATAAATCTTCAAAGGAGATTCATTAATGGTGATTTTGTTTAAGTGGATTATTGTGGGAGTCAAGTTTATTATGAATTTGCCATTGTAATGATTGTTAAAGACAAACCTACTTAACGAGTATGTCTGTTACACGTCCCCAGCAGCCGGGCCTCTCTACACCCAGGATCACATGACGTGTTATCACAGAGTCGTGCAGAGCCTGAGTGGTGCCTACAACACTGAAATGATTCCCTATGCCGAGAGGGTTGTCAGCATCCAGGTCGCCGAGAACGGCCACTACTCCGCCACCGACTGCATCCTCGACTACACCTACGGCTTTTATCGCAACTACGTGTGGGTCAGCCACGGCTGCCAGGCCAACTTCCTCGTGTGCTACATAAGAGGTGAGTTGCCGCTATCACACAGACTTAAACGTTCCAGTTTTAAAGACTTGTGCAGAGGACTAGTGTAAAGCGTAAGTCCTCAGAGTTTGTGAGCTCGTCACTATATGGCTGAAATATTGCCGATGTGACGTAAAATCTTAACTCACTCACTAACTCACTGAGAGTTTGTGGATAGTCCTCCGCGAACGAGGGAAACATGCTTACTATGTTTACGCTTGAAGCAAACTTGCAGCCCTGAGAACCAGAACGATAGCCCTCAAAGCCACCAGCCAGTGAAGACTACCATTTATTTGTCCTCAGCACATTTTAGAAGTTTCGAAGACAGATCATACGGTGTTAACACTAACGTCTGGTCTTACAATATCACAGATTTCGAATTTGCCTGATTCTGATTCCAGGCCTGTCGGTAGTAGACACCAAAGCGTTAATCTTCTACGGCATGTATCAAGTTTCTCACACACTAGTACGATGAAAACCACTAGTCACTCGACCATTCAGCCATCCAAACACCCCCCCCCCCCCCCGGTTCGCCCCCATTATATTTCTTGGTTCGTCAGCACCATGCCTGTGCTCATTGCAGTTTTATGTATGTCCCTCCTGCTTTACTGTGTTCATGTGTCCCTCCTGCTTTATGGTGTTCATGTGTCCATCCGGCTTTACGGTGTTCATGTGTCCATCCGGCTTTACGGTGTTCATGTGTCCCTCATGCTTTACGGTGTTCATGTGTCCCTCCTGCTTTACGGTGTTCATGTGTCCATCCTGCTTTACGGTGTTCATGTGTCCTTTCTGCTTTATGGTGTTCATGTGTCCCTCCTGCTTTACGGTGTTCATGTGTCCATCCTGCTTTATGGTGTTCATGTGTCCCTCCTGCTTTACGGTGTTCATGTGTCCCTCCTGCTTTACGGTGTTCATGTGTCCCTCCTGCTTTACGGTGTTCATGTGTCCCTCCTGCTTTACGGTGTTCATGTGTCCATCCTGCTTTATGGTGTTCATGTGTCCCTCCTGCTTTACGGTGTTCATGTGTCCATCCTGCTTTACGGTGTTCATGTGTCCATCCTGCTTTACGGTGTTCATGTGTCCATCCTGCTTTACGGTGTTCATGTGTCCTTTCAGCTTTATGGTGTTCATGTGTCCATCCTGCTTTACGGTGTTCATGTGTCCATCCTGCTTTACGGTGTTCATGTGTCCATCCTGCTTTACGGTGTTCATGTGTCCATCCTGCTTTACGGTGTTCATGTGTCCATCCGGCTTTACGGTGTTCATGTGTCCATCCGGCTTTACGGTGTTCATGTGTCCCTCCTGCTTTATGGTGTTCATGTGTCCCTCCTGCTTTATGGTGTTCATGTGTCCCTCCTGCTTTATGGTGTTCATGTGTCCCTCCTGCTTTACTGTGTTCATGTGTCCCTCCTGCTTTACGGTGTTCATGTGTCCTTCCAGCTTTACGGTGTTCATGTGTCCTTTCAGCTTTATGGTGTTCATGTGTCCATCCTGCTTTACGGTGTTCATGTGTCCATCCTGCTTTACGGTGTTCATGTGTCCCTCCTGCTTTACGGTGTTCATGTGTCCTTTCTGCTTTATGGTGTTCATGTGTCCCTCCTGCTTTACGGTGTTCATGTGTCCATCCTGCTTTACGGTGTTCATGTGTCCCTCCTGCTTTACGGTGTTCATGTGTCCATCCTGCTTTACTGTGTTCATGTGTCCCTCCTGCTTTACGGTGTTCATGTGTCCTTCCTGCTTTACGGTGTTCATGTGTCCATCCTGCTTTACTGTGTTCATGTGTCCCTCCTGCTTTATGGTGTTCATGTGTCCTTTCTGCTTTATGGTGTTCATGTGTCCCTCCTGCTTTACGGTGTTCATGTGTCCCTCCTGCTTTATGGTGTTCATGTGTCCTTTCTGCTTTACGTCGTTCATGTGTCGCTCCTGCTTTACGGTGTTCATGTGTCCCTCCTGCTTTACGGTGTTCATGTGTCCATCCTGCTTTACGGTGTTCATGTGTCCTTCCTGCTTTACGGTGTTCATGTGTCCTTTCTGCTTTATGGTGTTCATGTGTCCCTCCTGCTTTATTGAGTTCATGTGTCCCTCCTGCTTTACTGTGTTCATGTGTCCTTCCAGCTTTACGGTGTTCATGTGTCCCTCCTGCTTTACTGTGTTCATGTGTCCTTCCAGCTTTACGGTGTTCATTTGTCCATCCTGCTTTACGGTGTTCATGTGTCCCTCCTGCTTTACGGTGTTCATGTGTCCCTCCTGCTTTACGGTGTTCATGTGTCCTTTCTGCTTTACGGTGTTCATGTGTCCCTCCTGCTTTACGGTGTTCATGTGTCCCTCCTGCTTTACGGTGTTCATGTGTCCTTTCTGCTTTATGGTGTTCATGTGTCCTTCCTGCTTTATGGTGTTCATGTGTCCTTCCTGCTTTATGGTGTTCATGTGTCCTTTCTGCTTTATGGTGTTCATGTGTCCATCCTGCTTTACGGTGTTCATGTGTCCTTCCTGCTTTACGGTGTTCATGTGTCCTTTCTGCTTTATGGTGTTCATGTGTCCTTCCTGCTTTATGGTGTTCATGTGTCCCTCCTGCTTTACGGTGTTCATGTGTCCCTCCTGCTTTACGGTGTTCATGTGTCCTTTCAGCTTTATGGTGTTCATGTGTCCATCCTGCTTTACGGTGTTCATGTGTCCATCCTGCTTTACGGTGTTCATGTGTCCATCCTGCTTTACGGTGTTCATGTGTCCATCCTGCTTTACTGTGTTCATGTGTCCCTCCTGCTTTACTGTGTTCATGTGTCCTTCCTGCTTTACGGTGTTCATGTGTCCCTCCTGCTTTACGGTGTTCATGTGTCCTTTCAGCTTTATGGTGTTCATGTGTCCCTCCTGCTTTACGGTGTTCATGTGTCCCTCCTGCTTTACGGTGTTCATGTGTCCATCCTGCTTTACGGTGTTCATGTGTCCATCCTGCTTTACGGTGTTCATGTGTCCATCCTGCTTTACGGTGTTCATGTGTCCATCCTGCTTTACTGTGTTCATGTGTCCCTCCTGCTTTACTGTGTTCATGTGTCCTTCCTGCTTTACGGTGTTCATGTGTCCCTCCTGCTTTACTGTGTTCATGTGTCCCTCCTGCTTTACGGTGTTCATGTGTCCACAGCTTATCACAACTCAAGTGCTCAATAAATATAGGAACATGTATTTTAACCAGGTTCCATCCCCATATTGTAATCATTGCTAAACTCAGTCTCGGTGTTCGGCGCCGTGACATCCAGCAAGAATGTGACTCAATGGTCGTGCTGTATATTTAACGAAATGCGTGTGTGTTGTTTCAGGGCGGAATATCCTGCTGATCTGTGAGAGCGAGGTAGGACAACGGCATCTGTGTCACACTCACCGTCCCATCCGCTACCTGGAGTTTGTCAAGCGACTCACTGACTCATCTAACTGTGAGGAGGGGGAAACGTTCGGCTTCCATGGAGAATACATCTGGGTAGCCAATGGATGTAAAGCAGCGTTCAGAATCACCACGCCTATTGGTGGTGACGCCCCCAAGTTTCCCTTCGTGTAGATGACCTGCCACACTGCTCTATATATACATACCTAATAAGTTGAAGACACGATCTAACTGAATGTAATTAAATATAAACATAAGGAACGACTAAAGGAAGTGTATCATGTGTCACCCAAAGGGACACTGAAACACTGTAAAGGTTGGTAACAATAAACGCGGCAGAGAAAGCAAATCAACTTTCACTTCTTGTTATATATTCAAAGGAATGATGGGGTAGCCAAGTTGGTAAAGCGTTAGTTCGTCTCGACGATTCGGGGTTCGATTCCAATGTGTGACGCCAATTCAGGTGTCCCCCGCCGTCATTTGTTAAACGGCGTGAAAAGGCTATACAAAGACAAAAGGATTGGCAGAGAAACTAGCACCAACGGCTGAAGCCATTACTTGGAGGTGGGTGGCAGCACCGTATCCACGAGGGTCATGTGAGGATATGATGACATGTCTACATTATTTTGCATGTAACGTTTGTCCGTACATTCAGCACATACTATGACAGAGAATGGGTTCAGTACCGTTATGTACAGTGTTGTTTCATAGATTGCATCTGTACTGATGTTAACCATCTCCCCGAGGCAAGGGACTTTACTGACTAAAAAAGTCCGACTTCTACAGTCATTTAATTCCCTTGCCTCGGGAAGATGGACGTTAACAGTAGCGATGTCAGCATGAGGGCAGTCCTAAGTAAATCATCGGAAAATACTTAATATTTATTTTCCGATCTTCAGAAAGGATTGAGGCTTGTCGAAAAAGTGAAACCCAAGTCCGACTTTAGTGACATGAATTCATGATCTGACTGTGAGTCCCCCGACGAACACCGCCGTGTTAGATCGCTTATAGAAGATAAGGTTTGTCAGGTTTGTTTTGTCCAGTAGCGCGTCCAAGCTGTTGACATAAATATGACACTAACAATGTCATGTCATCATATATGCATTATGTCAACGATCCAAGGGTCTAGGTGTGTGTGTCGGGGGGGGGGGGGGGGGGGGGGGGTGGGGGGGGGGGTGTCAATGGAACAGCTGTGGTTATGGTAAGGCTGTGAGAGACATGATGCGCCAAGGAGACACAAGTCGATAACATCAATATGTCCGTCCATGCAGACAAAGGATATGCCACTGAATTGATTCCTGATCAACAATGACAACAACATGTAACAGTTTGGCAAATGGCGTAATCCCCTCCACCAACAAAATCGTGTATTCGTAAAATGACAGGAAGCACGTGATATGTGCTCTGTTCTGGCGGTCATCTGGAATAAACGTCTTTCATTATCTGGAGACAGTGACGTGATTATCATTCATGGAAATCCAGTCAATGATCGCAGAGACGCAATTTCTGCAAATCTATACTGTAGTCAGTTCTGTTAACACGCAACTACACGTCATACTGACGTCAGCAGTACCCAGTGCTTCATGGTGCATCGTTATGTAACAGTAAAGTGATCCATTAGCAATATGACATGACTGGACAGATCAGACGTGCATGGGGTGTATTGTGTGATATCGACGTGGCGTGTTCAGGTCACATATCAGGGGTAGTTCAGCAACATTGGACGCGGAGGGTAAGTGTGGTGTCTCCATAGGCAAGAGATTTGGATCGACATTTGCTTCTGTACACCCGTACATTCATGGTTTCTAATTGGTGATAATATACTGTGTTGCTAGACCCGGCGTGATTAACACAGTATACGTTGTGCCGACGTAGGCTTCACATGTATTTGAGGCTGTATGGTAATGAATAGTACTCCCCAAGTCCGCAATATTATCTAGGCCTTCTTCCGTCGCTACTTTTTCCAAATCTAAGAAACAGAAGCACTATGACAAGGTATGTCCATCTTGCAATCAACCTGAATCAATTGTTCACTTGTTACTGGAATGTCAAGACCATGCCCAAGCCCGGGCTCCGTTAAAACAAGAATTGCAGTTAGATCCGCCATCTGTCGTAGATCTCCTAAAGCCAAAAAGATGCATCAGCGAAGGCCGAACTGACTGTTTCTGAGAGATGGACAGCCAAAGATAAAAATGAAATCATATCAATATACGAAAAAAGAAATCATATCAAACTGGAAATAGATATGTGTACCCAGCTCACACACAGGAGTCCCAAACAGGGTCAGGTCTGCTGAGTCCCAAAGAGGGTCAGGTCTGCTGAGTCCCAAAGAGGGTCAGGTCTGCTGAGTCCCACAGAGGGTCAGGTCTGCCGAGTCCCAAAGAGGGTCAGGTCTGCCGAGTCCCACAGAGGGTCAGGTCTGCCGAGTCCCAAAGAGGGTCAGGTCTGCTGAGTCCCACAGAGGGTCAGGTCTGCTGAGTCCCACAGAGGGTCAGGTCTGCTGAGTCCCAAACAGGGTCAGGTCTGCCGACATTGCTAAGGCAGAAGGCGACCTCTTAAACACTTATAGCAACAACAAAACATTACCAGTGGATATTCTCCTGATCGAACCAAACTGTTTTATATTTAATACTGCACTACATCATTTAACTCCAGGGCGTCTGAAGAAACCTTTCGGTCCGGATGTTTCCGGGCGTTAAATAGTAGGACCCAACATTTACTGTAAACTTTATTTTTGCCATACTTAATGCTTGATTTTCTACACACATTTACAGTACACTTAATGTGTGCCATGCTTAACGCTTGTTTTAGCATACACATTTACTAAACACTAAATGTTTGCCATACTTAATACTTGCTTTAGTATACATATTTACTGTACACTTAATGTGTGCCATACTTAACGCTTGCTTAAATATACATATTTACTGTACACTTAATGTTTGCCATACTTAACGCTTGCTTTAGTATACATATTTACTGTACACTTAATGTTTGCCATGCTTAACGCTTGCTTTACGAAACATATACTGTACACTTAATGTTTGCCATACTTAACGCTTGCTTTAATATACATATTTACTGTACACTTAATGTTTGCCATACTTAACGCTTGCTTTAATATACATATTTACTGTACACTTAATGTTTGCCATGCTTAACTCTTGCTTTACGAAACACATATACAGTACACTTAATTTTTGCCATACTTAATACTTGCTTTAGTATACATATATACTGTACACTTAATTGTTGTTAAAATGTATTTTTAAAGTAATTCTGTAAATAGACTCATGCTTGCTACAATTAATAAACAACCGTAACAGCTTTGATTATGTGTAAATAGACTTAATGTCTCCCATTTGTCAGGCAGCCGGACAGAGGAGAATGGGGGTAGGTAAGACATCACTCACAGCTGTAGTGGGACAGTCCTCATTTGATTACTCTTGTGAGAGGAGAGCTTGTCAGAAATTCATGCAGACCTGAGTAGTTTGTGTACATAACAAAAGTCTATAATTAATGTAACTATTTTTGCTTTTATTCTGGATTATCTCCTCAGAAGCTCGTGGTTGAAAATACTATTACAATGATCTGTGTTTGTAGCAAGTTCTCTCAGCTTTCTCATTTTCTGTTTGATGTAATAACACCTTGTCAGCCACTTCTTTACTTTCTCCTGTAGTCAAATAAGAAACGTGTTTGGGTGAGCACCGTGTAGAACAAGGGCAAGAGTTCTATGGATAAACAACTTCTTCACTAGGATGAATGCGTTATCATGCAAGTGATCACATGATGGATAAGGATGTTAGTATCTACACCGAAACGTCGGATTCATGGGAATAAAGACTCATACCCAAATGAAAGGAAAGTTGAAGTAGCCATCTCACGCCTCAGACTCGCTCACAAAAAGTACTATAACAAGGTATGCCCATATTGCAATCAACCTGAATTGTTACTGAAGCCCCAGCCCGGGATAAGTTAAAACAAGACTTGCAGTTACATCCTCTATCTGTCACAGATCTCCTAAAGCCAAGAGATGCATCAGAGAAGGCCAAACTAACTCTGTTTCTGAACGATGGTCAACTACTTCAATGTACATAACCAGATCGACCAAAGACATTCTATCACTTTCTGCAAATCAAGATCAAATCTTATCAATACGAAAATAGATATCTTATCAATACAAAACGATCAATTTTATCAATTCTTCAAACCTCTTAAACACTTAAAGTAACAACAACATGGATGGCATCTGTCTGACTTGGTTACGGAAAATAGAATATATATACACAAAGAAAAAAGTTAAGCACACCCCTATTTCTGAACCATGACAAATTGAAAAATTATGGCATGGGATGGATGACTGACCACAGGAGCTGGGCGATACCAATGTCATCGGATAGAACAAACATTTGACAACAAATAAAGGAGCCTCCGTATTGGTGATTGAAATTTACTGACAAAAACATCATGGTAACATAGGTACTGTTTTTGACCTTAGACAATACCTAAAAAAAGTATGGAGCTGCAGGATTAAGTAAACGAGTTACGTTTGATGTTTCATGTGAAAATGTTCCTTAAAGTGTGCACTTGACATGACACGTGAAACAGATCAGTAGCGGTTATAACCGCCACGTGCACGGATGACGCATTCCACCCTACGTCTCATGCCTCCAGTCAGACGTTGGATCTGTTGATGGATCAACAACAACCACCCCTGATGCAATGCTGCTTCCAATTGGCGTAAATCTTGTCCAGGAGGATCTCGTGCCTGTATGCGCCGCCCCAGAATATCCCAAACATGTTCAAGGGGGTCATGCTGGCCAGGATAGAGTCGTTGTTGCTTTGGCCCTCATGTAATCCACGACTGCATGTGAAGGATGAGGCCTGGCATTGTCATCCATGTGCTGAGGTCGAGTAGCAAGAGGGTGGGTGTCAAAATGAGGAACGACAACTGGCCTAAAAACGTCCCGGATGTACTGAGCCCCTGTTAAGTTGCCCCTTATGGTGACCAAGTCAAAACTGCAATCATGAGAGATACATCCCCAGACCATTACCGAGCCCCCGCCGTATACAACAGTCGGTTTAATGTTCCTGGGGGTGTAGGCCGTGTTCCGGTGCCTCCAAACTCCCGTTCTTCCATCAGTGACATGGAGCAGTAAGCGACTTTCGTCTGATCAATGGATCCGTCTCCAAGTTCTCAGATTCCAGTTCTGTCGCGCAATACACCATGCTAAACGAGCAGCTTTGTGGTGATCCCTCAACAGGGGACGCTTTATGACTCGTCTATCCCTCGGTCCTGCTTTCAGCCGGTTCCTGACGGTTCTGGTTCCTGACGGCAGAGACCATATA